ACAGCCAGTCCAACTGGCATCACCTGACAGACTAACCTGGGCGAGGACCTGCCAAGACCACCTATATAAACCTTACTGAAATGGATATGAATTGTGCCGAAGTGCTTCACAAGCCATGGGCAGAGCCATCACTCACACCTGTCCATCTCCAAAGTTCACTATGTCACCACTCCAGCCATCTGACTGTTTGGCTCAGGGCTGGCCCTATCATTAGGCAGGTGGAAAATGCTGTATTAGCTGTCCATTTAGTTACTTCACACATACTTTAACAGACTGCAAAGCTCTTGCAAGAAGAGAGAGTAAGATCTGGCCCACATACATCTGCAACAGCCTGCATAGATTTTCTGCTCATCATTTGTTTCTCTGTGGTCCCATGTCTCCTCTCTAGGGTAGTGTTCGCATCCCTGTTTACTGTGCACTCACGATGTTATCCAAAATGCACATGTATCCTGGACTTTGTTATACAGTACAAGACTACTGCTTGACGCCGTGGTTTCTCAAACCAGCTTGGAGTACTTAAGCCACTCTTAATTCACCTCTAGCCAAGGTGTGAGCACCTTGGCATAGGGTAAAGACCTTGGTGTATACACAAATAGATATGAATCTGACATTAATGAAGCTGTGCTGATGTGAACAGCTAATGGGAGAAAGAGCTGTGAAACACAATAGGACTCCAAACTAGTACCCACCAAATGCTTTGGATTACAACTCCCCTGAGCAGGGTTGGGCCAGGCCGTTTTGCTGTTCTGCCTCCTGAGGCGACTGCCTCATATTTCCACATAGGAGGGCAGTTGCTGTCCATGAGTCCCAGCATCATAAGGCTGTGCAGACTGGGGCTGATGGGAGCTGTAGTTCAAAATATCTGGAGGGTGCCAGGCTAGGAAAGACAGTTTCCTTTTGAATAAAGCTTGAAAGACTCAGTGCTAACAACTGTTGGCAGAAATACATTAGTTTTTATCTGAACCCATGGCCAAATAAAAACCATGACAGCTTTTATTTTCCAGAACAGTGAATGGGTAGGGCCTTAATTTCTGATCAAAAGGAGGTGGGGGCACTGCTCCAGTCAACTCCCACCTGCAAGAGAAATGCTTCCCCTCCTGCACTCCCCTGACCAGATTTGCACCTCCACAACCTTTTATGGCAGCCTTTCAAACAGGGGGTTGTTTGTGGGTTTTTCACATCTAGTTATGCCCTGTACCTGGTACTTGTTTGGGGCACTCCCTTGCAGTTTTTTTTAATTCCACATCTCTGCAGATTTTTAAGCTTCTGGTGAGGCAGGTTCCTTCCCTTCCCCCTCTCGGTTCCCGGCCCAAATGCTGGTGGCCTTTGCCAGCTGGCTGGTCCTTGTGGCTCGCGGACTGGCTCCACTTCAGCAATGCTGAGATTGGACTGCTGAAAAACAGCCCCCCACCCAAGGGCCCCAGGCTAGCCTGAAAGCTGGCCACAGGGAGGGAGAAAGGAAGTCCCAGCACCATCCAGCTCAGGTCCAAAGTGTGGTCTTTTCTTGATAGGTAAAATATATGGAGTGTAGGGCCATTGGAAAAAATGTGCATAAAATCTGCTTATGCTAATTCATGCAAACTGATGCCTTTATCTAACTGATGCAAATTTAAATGCCATAGAAGGCCAGGCAGCTAATTTCTCATCCAACTCACCCCAGATAAATTCTTAAATTAATTTTCACAGACCAACTCACCCCAGGTCAGTTCCTCTTCAATTAATTTATCCCCCATTAATTTCCCCGTAGATCCTATTCAGAATCATTTCATTCACCACCACCCCATTCACGGCTGCCAAATCATTTCGAGATGAAGTCATTTTTACTCAGTTTGGTCCCCAAATTAATATCCTACCCAGTTATCCTGATCACCCCAGTTCGATTTGCCCCAAATTCATTGCTCTCCCATGATCACTTGTGACACTAATTAGTGGGCAATAATATTTTGTCTTTGTGTATTAAATAGGGCTGCCATACAATTGGAATTTCCGGACAAATCCAGGATTTGTCCGTCGAAAATAGTATCTGGGCTGAATTTCTGAAAATCGGCAAAAATGTCCAGGAAAACCAGGGCATATGGAAGTGCCTCCCCCCAAAAAAGAGCTCAACAACTTTTGTGTCCAGATTTTCACTTTTTGAAATATGGCAACCCTATCTTAAAAAGCTTCTTCTGTTGATTTCTGCAGATCAAACTGCGGTTTCCTTAGGACATCCCTATTTTCATTGGAGAAATGTGGGAGGGTATGGAGTTATGCGACCCTCAGCCAAGGAGATAAGTGGTAACTGTACAACCTTTAGAAGACATCTGAAGGCAGCCCTGTATAGGGAAGTTTTTTTATATAAAAAAAGTTTAATGTTTAATTATTATTTTTATATGTTGGAAGCCACCCAGAGTGGCTGGGGCAGCCCTGTTAGATGGGCAGGGACTAAATAATAAAATTATTATGATTATGGAATAAGATGTCCCTATTTTCACTGGAGAAATCTTGGAGTGTATGCTCCCCCCTCCCCACACCCAGCACTTTCCCCATAAACACCTGCTCTTGGAACAAAAGGCAATCTGCAGAAAACCCGGATTGCTGTTTGTTCCATTTCAGTGTTAAAATGTGGGTTTTCCTGAGGAAAGTAACAAAACAAAGTGCTTGGACACAGAGTGGGAAAGCACTAACCGAACCTGTGGTTCAAAAGGTAAGTGTAAATGAGCTGTAAGCTTACATGGAGGTCAGACTATTATCCAGTCTTTATTGAACTGCTTTCAGGGCATTTATACTCCTTCCTGTTAACCATTGCTTCACCTCATACTTTCCAGTGCATTTCCCCTGTCCCTTTCTTAATTGCGAAAATTCACTTTCTTTTTAAACGGTCTTTTAAAAAATTCTTACAACTTGAAATTCTTACAACTTGAAATCACATCCTCTTGTAAATTCCACCTGGAGCAGCTGAAAAATACGAGGTCTTCTCTTTTTATGGAAAAAATCCTTTGTTGCCCTAGGGCAGCTGTGGGCAACCTCTGACCCTCCAATTATTGCTCAACTACAATTCCATCAGCCCCAGCAAGCGTGGCCAGTGTCTAGGGGTGATGGGAGTTGTAGTTCAGTAACATCTGGAGAGTGCCACACTTGCGCTAGGGCAATGGAGCACTTCAGCTGTCCAAACATTTCTGGTATGTTCTTCCATCCCTCCTGCAAAATACAGTCTGGGTTTGACCTCCACAATCCTTATGCACCTGACACAAGGTTTTCTGGCTGGAGGCCTTTTCCACCCCCTCTTCCATGCCTTTGTTTTTTACTCCCAGGGGCAAATTTCTCACTTGACTATCTCTGCACTCTATATTCCTGGAGGCTCCTGGAGTTAATAGGATTAACTCCAGAGCACCATTTCTCTGATCTAGCACTTCCATTCTGGCTGCCTGGCAGCTTTCAGCTGTGAAATAACTTAGAATCATAGAATCATAGAATCATAGAGTTGGAAGAGACCACAAGGGCCATCGAGTCCAACCCCCTGCCAAGCAGGAAACACCATCAGAGCACTCCTGACATATGGTTGTCAAGCCTCTGCTTAAAGACCTCCAAAGAAGGAGACTCCACCACACTCCTTGGCAGCAAATTCCACTGTCGAACAGCTCTTACTGTCAGGAAGTTCTTCCTAATGTTTAGGTGGAATCTTCTTTCTTGTAGTATTATTAACTTGCGTTCCTTGATGGTAACTCTGCCTCCTTGTCTCCTAGTACAATGCAATGGTGTTCTGATCTCTTTTGGGACACCAGGCTCGGATCAGAAACCCAGCAAATGCAACCAAATCGCTCCCTTCTCTGTTCCATTAATCTTTCTACTAAACTTAATCCTCCACCCCAGTCTAGAGAGTGAGGAAGAGGATGGTCTGGAAGGGAGCTGACCTCATTTTTCTCTCCACCCCAATTTCAATCTGCCAGGTTCTGTTTGCATTTATGCAACCAGCCCCTTCCCTCTCCTCCCTGCCAGGGGCTGCTTTCTAGATCCAGACATCTCATTGGCGTTTCCCTGACCTTGTGCAACCTTGGCTGTTGCTAGGATAAATGGGGCTTGCTCGGAAGTATTGCCATCTCCTGCATCCTTGCAAGAGCTGAAGGTTGCTGAAGGTCACACGTGCACTGGGTCACAGGTCCTGAGGTTTGTCTGCCGTAATAAGAGAGAGCCTGACAAAGAGAGATTAATGCAGGAATAAGACTTGCATGGTTTTCTTAACTAGTGAAATGCCTGTTGTTACAAAAGGCAAAATGGGAGTGTAGATGGAGAGCCTGTACGTTACTATTGATATAGAAAATAGGGGTGGTTGGCTTTTGCTGCCTAACTCCCCAAGGGACCAAGGCCCCTAATTCTATGATTGGTCAGAGATGAATGGATGGAGGCAGGATGCCCTGAAAGCAAGGCAGATCTTTATCTTTCTGTTGCAACAGAGTTCCCTCCCTTTGCAAGGAGGCAAGAGAGACCCAGAATCAGAAAGAAACATCTCTTTTAAGGGTTTGCATTTTGGCATAGAGAAGGAGGACATCCCCTCTACAAACAACCAGAAATTACATTGATTGTAATTTCCACGAGAACTAGTGTTTTGAGAGAGGGAGAAAAACTTTGTTTCTATCCACTTTTTCCATGCCATGTCAAATTTTATAAACTTCTGTTGTGTCACTTTTATAAGGTCAAGGCTCAAAAACAGGACCTCAAAGGCAATTGGTGCACTGGGGTGGGGTCATCCCAGCAACAGACACAAAGCAAGATCAGTTATTTTTCAGCTCTGCCAACTAACAGGCTCATTTGTCAGCCAGAGACAACTAAACCAAATTAGAATTATTTTTTAAAAGAGCTCTCAAGGCAGCCTAAAACAAAAATAAAACAGACACAAACAAGAAAATCAAATAATTAAAAGGAAAAAAAACCAGAGGGCTAAAAACTAGAGCAACGCTAAAACCATCTGTAGTAGCAAGGAGAGGTCAGGGGAGTTATGCCTACGGCTGGGTGCTGGGACAGGATTTGGTGGGTAGGCTGGATACTAACCTGTCCCAGCACCCAAGGTCATTTTGACAGGTGGGCAGGGCTGTGAGGCACTCCAGAAGAGTGCACTGCAGCAGGAAGCCATTATTGTTATTTATTATTTAATTTTATTCCTTGAATTTGTATCCCACCCTTCCTTTCCAAGGAGCTAAGGGCAGCAAGCTGATACACAGTTTGAAAACAGCAATCCCCCCCTAAAACAGTTAAGGCATTAAAAACAACAACAACAATTACAACTAAAAACATTTATTTCCTGGCACTGGGAATACTCTGTGGTACAAATTGTCAATTTGGGGGCAAAATCTGGGATTTTGAGAAACTGCTGTGGGTGTCAGTAACAAGATGGCTGCCGTGGGGGTGCAGCATAACACAAAATGGCTGCCACATGCAAGAGAACAGAGAAGGGGATTGGGGGAAACGGTGTCAGCGTAGTCCGTCCGGTGGATGTTGAATCCTGGCATCCAAGAAAATGTGAGCATGCTTCAGGCGAGAAGGTGTTCAGCGCTGGAGAAGCTGAGTCAGTGCAAACAGGAGCTGAGCAGGAAGATGAAGGCCTCATATGAGGATCGTAAAACTTAATCGCCCTGCAACCCCTGAAGAGCTATTAAAATAATATTTTAGCTAATTAGTAACTCATGGCTCCCACATTATTGAGAATTATTGTTAGAAGGGATGTTAATAACTAGTTAATAGCTGACTACCTTGAACAACTAATGGCCCAATATTGCCTCATATTTTGCCTTTTTGAAATGTGGAGAGGTGGTCTTAGGAAGGTGTTTCTACTTTTACACAGATTTCCCAAGGTCTTTGACCTCTGTTTTGGTCTTGCAGCTCAGGTGCCGAGCGGGGTCTGAATTAAGCTTGCAAAAGAGCAGGTGGGGGTAAGAAATGGGTTGCACTGTGTGCCCCATCCATGGCTGGTTTAAAAGTCCTTCTTGCCTGTCCACATTAGCACTTGCACACCAGACAGGATCTCCCAACAAACAGGACTGCCAACTTAAGGGCTGCTCTGTCAGTCTGCCTTCAAGAGCTGTCCAGTAAGCAGCCATTCAGTAGCAGAAGCATTCGCCTCTGTCATCATTTTGTTGCCTAGTTAAGGCTTTCCTTTTTCAGCAGGTCATTGCGGTGGATTATTTTTTTTTACCCCAGTCTGCATCTATATTGCATTTAGAACTGTTTTAACTAGGACATTGTTTATATATGCTTTTTATTATTAAAGCACTTTGAGATGTTTTATAAGAAGTGGAATGCAGTGAATAAATAAAGCCATCATGCTGCTATTTCAAAGGGCAGAGACCAGCCTCATGAAATTGCAGGATCCTGCCAAATAAAATGCGGAGTAATTTGCCGTGTTGCACATATTATCTCTCCCAGGAGTGTCCAGTTCAAACTTTTTGACCCAAAGTGCCAATTATTCTCAAGGGGAAAAAAAAAGATTGTAGCTCTTGACTTCCACTTCCTGTGCTGTCTTTGGTCTCTTTCCCAGAACAGAGAGTGTGACTCGTGGGATGAGTTAATTCTGCTCATCCATGGGAGACAAGCCATATCTCTAGTATGATGTACAGACTCTTCCTCCAGTTATCAGTCAGTGGGAGTTAGATGGGGTTGGTGGGGCTGGGAAAAATTCCTGCCTGCAGGGCCATTGTTAGGTACTTGGTTATATAGTTTGCTTTCTTCTTGTTTGTATGCTGGTTATCTATACATATCTGTATACATTTTAAGTTGTTTTAAACTGTTCTTAATATTGTGTATCATTGTGTTTTAATAGTAATGTTGTGTTTTAATGGGACCTGGGCGTGAAAGGAGGGTAATAAATTGTAATAATAATAATAATGGTTTTCAGATATAGGTTACACTTGAAATTTTGCTAATTGAGGTTTTTGGCAGCTCCCCCCCCCCAGGAGTCTTGTTTTTCATTTGGTTTTCTTTTTTATTTTTATTAATGCTTTTTAAGTTATCTTCCCTATTGTTTTTACAAAAGTAACTTGATATGTTTTTATTCATTTAGCACGAGATAATGATAAAGTGTTATACATTATTATATTTTGTAAACACTGTTCCATTACTTTTTATGTTGTTCATATCTGTATAATGCCCCTAGGAAGGATTTTAGTTTGGCCTGAAATAAATTATATTTCAAGCCCCCCATTTTTTCTCCATGTCAGGGTTGCTGCCCTCATTTTTGTGGTTGGCTTTCAACCACAAAATTTGCATAAAATTTGCATGTGCTAATTTATATATGTGGATGCCTCTGGGAAATTATGATGTTGGGTGGTGGGGGTATCACCAATTATTACATTTATATCTCACCTTTCCTCCGAGGTGCTCAAGGTAGTGTACATGGCTCTCCACTTCCCCATTTGACCCTTACAACAACCCTGTGAGGTAGGTTAGACAGAGAGACTGTGACTGGCCAAGGTCATCTCTGAAAGTTGTAGCTGAGTGGGTCCTAGCTTTAAGTAGAAGGTGTGGGTATGACCTGAAGCTCTTGATTATATTGCTACTGAAAAATATGCAGGCAGTGTCTTTCCTCTACATGGCAAAAAGATTCCTACATTGCAGGGGGTTGGACTACATGACCCTCATAGTCCCTTCCAACTCTTTGATTCTATGACAATCAATATACTATATTATTGAATTAAATCAGGCTTCCCCTACCTGGTGCCCTCCAGATGCAACTCCCATCAGACCCAACCAGTAGGACCATGGGAAGTATAGTCACAGACATTTGGAAGTTACCAGGCTGGGTAAAGCTGAATTAGAATAATATAAAGTATGTACAATTTTATGACATCAAATTCCATCAGAATGGCCTTAATGGATCGAACTGAAGTCCATTCTGCATCCAGCAGTGGCCAGTCAGATGCTCTGGGATGTTGACAAGTTGAATATGAAGCTGATGGCCATCATCGCTTGATATTTGTCCTCAACAGGAGCACCTGTTGTTTAGAAGCTCCCTTTGGGTGCCATAGGCAATATGGTCGTGGATAGGCCTGTTGTCTTTCATGGGGCACTACCATCTCTTTCTCTTTCTCTCATGCAGCCAAAGCCCCAAAATGCCATCACGATTGCTGTGTCATCGCGAGCCCTCTTCCGTATGGAAGAGGAGCAGAAGATTTACAATGAGCAGGGTGTGGAGGCCTACGTGAAATTCCAGCTGGATCACGAGAATGAGCCCTTTCTGCCTGGAGCAGCCTTCCCCTTCGTCAAGGTCTTTTCCTTTTCTGATGATTTTGTTCACCTCCAGATGGAAACATCAGAATCTGGGTTCAAGATAAGGGGATGAAGCAAGTGCTGGCTGTCACTTATCAGTAAATTAGCCCAGGCGGAGGTTTTATGATTGATCCAATGAAATGTGGGTCGTGGTCTGTTGCAATGCTACAATATCCTTGTGCTGGGTGTCTCCCTGAAGGTCTAATGTAAGACTCTGGGCACTGGAGAGTCTGTTGGGGTTTTTAATGCCATACTACCATCTATGTGCAAATACTACTAAACACCAATATCCTTCTTGTGACCCCCATTCCAAAGGGTACTGAAACCCAGCAAGCACTGGAACCCCTGAAACTTCTCTTTGCTTTGAGAAATGGGATCTGCTTACCAGTGCTTTAGGGAGGGACCTCAGTCGGAGAGCCCATGGTTTGCATTACAGAAAGTCCCAGGTTCAGTTCCCAGCATTGACCTGAAAGGATCAGGTGGCAGGTGAGCAGGAAAAGGGACTTTCTCTCTGCCTTTGGAGAACCACCACCAGTCAGAATCAATATTGAGGTAGATAGAAGAACCAAACCATATAAGGCAGCTTCAGGTGCACAATCAGGGCTTCCCCTGCTTTTCTTTTGCATGCTTTTGATTAAAAAAGGATGTAAAGTATCTGAAAGATGAGCTGTTCACCTGACAGTAAGTACTGTACTGATGGTTTGGGGCCTCCTTCCCCCACCTGTTTATTGTTTTATTTAAGGAAGTCCGGTTGTGTTCTTGGCCAGACTGCTCTGCCATCTTTGACTTTCTAGGCACTGGAAGCTGTTAACATGCAGCTGCGGGTGCTCTACCCAGAGAGCGAAGAGCTCTTCGACATCGTCCTCATGACTAACAACCACGCTCAGGTGGGAGTCCGCTTGATCAACAGCATCAACCATTACAGTGAGTAACCGGAAGCCACCTCCCTTGACCAGAAGCACCCAAGCAATTGATGGGTTACTTGTCACCTATTTGCAAACTACCAAGTTGTCTTGCTTCTATACCAGTCTAACTGTCTTGAGTCCCCATCCCATAAAGAACCCTGGTAAATGTATCTCAGTGATGGTGTTAGAATGGGGTGGTCCAATTCACAGCCCAAGGGACACATGCAGCCCTTCAGGCCTTTTTTGGTGGCCCTCAGCAACATTTGATGCACCCTCACAGCCCTCACACTAAATTAAGTAAATTAGGTAAATAAGTACATCAGAGTGCTGCCTTTGAAAGATGCCACCTGGATTTCCTGACAAACAGCTCAACAAAACTTTGGCGTCAAAAGGCAACCAAGGAACCAGTGCAGGTGCTACATCCGCTGGTGGATTGCGCTTCCCAAGGCCTCTCTCTTCCTCCCCTCAATGTTTTCTTCTTCTTGCTCTCTCTTCCAGACCTGTTCATCGAGAGGTTTTGCATGACAGGTGGGAACAGCCCCATTTGCTACCTGAAGGCCTACCACACCAACCTGTACCTGTCATCTGACTGCGAGAAAGTGAGTGAAGCCATAGAAGAGGGTGAGTGAAGGTGTTTGTTGTCCTTCGCCTGCTGTTGGAAAGGGAGTAGGAAGTCACCCGTGTGTGCGAGTGTGTGGTCTGTTGGCATGTGTGGGTTAAAACCTAAACTATTTTTTCTGTTGTGATTCTCCCCCCTCCATCCCAGAAACCCCAGGTACTCTAGTTTTGCACGTGCAGTCTTGTGGGCTCTTTGAACTCTGTTTCCCCTAGCAGACTGCATGATCCTGGGAGGTCTCACAATAGGTTTATGAGGCTTTCCTCATTATGATAGTAGTAGGTAGGGTGACCGCCTGTGGTATGAGATGGGAAGCAAGAGCTTGTTTACTACATGCAGAATCAAGTTGCCTAGAAGAAACGGTTGAGGTTAGGGCTACTTCCTTTTGAGGATGGTGATGGGTTGCTTTGCTTCCTTGACAGAATCACAGAATTGTAGAGATGGAAGGGACCATAAGGGTCATTTCATCCAACCCCCTGCAATGCAGGAATCTTTTGCCCTAGTGGGGCTCGAACCCACAACCCTGAGATTACCAACTGAGCTATTCTCTTCAGATAAGACTGGAGAGAACTCTGCCTGACCACAGTCCGTGTGACAGGTCCCCACGCCTAACATTCATCACACACTCTGACATATACACCACCTTGAGGATATTGTTTAGTTTGCTCCAATATAACTCATATAGCATTTTGGGTTTTACAGACCTTTACATATTTTTTTAAAAGCAGAAATTGAAGTGCGAGCCACCAGAGGATGAGCTTCTAGAAAGTGCCGCTAGATCCTTTTCTTCTTCTTTCCCCAAGGAATTGCTGCAGCCACCATCTTCAGCTCCAACAGGGACGTGCAGGTTTCAGAGAACCAGCTGCGTGTAGCCTTTGATGGAGACGCTGTGCTGTTTTCAGACGAGTCTGAGCAGATTGTGAAGGCTCATGGCCTTGACAAGTTCTTTGAGCATGAGAAGACTTATGAGAACAAGCCTCTGGCTCAGGTATGACTGAGAATACCCAGAAATGCATTATCAGGAAATGTTGGGATGGCCACAAGCTGGCTGAGCTCAGGAGCCAGGCAGGTTGTTTGATTCCCTGTTTGCTTGCTTCTTTGGCAGTGTTTTTGGTTTGTTTGTTTTTTTGCAAACCACAATGAGGAGGAAGAGGAGGTGAATTTATTTCTGAAATTTATTTTTAGTTGATTTTAACTTTTTAAAACAGTTTAATCTTTCAACCATAAGAGCAATTAGGCTATGAAAATTATATGGGGGGAAACTGCATCATTCAAACCTTGCTTAGACTGTCTCCCTACTTTAGCCAGTACTTAGCAATAGAGCCAGTGTGGGCAACCTTTTGGCCCTACAGATGTTGCTGAACTACAACTCCCATCATCCTTGGCCAAAGGTCACACTTGCTGATGGGAGTTGTAGCTCAGCAACATCCAGAGGGCCAAAGTTTTCCCATTCCTGCCACAGAGCAGCTTCTTTCAGCTCATCCTTCTTCACAGGCTGTGCATCTTCTTGTTTCTTCTCTCCATGGAGCCCAGGCTCTCTGCAGCACTCTTCATCCTGACTTTTTCTGGTTTCTACCTCTCAACTCTCCCTCTGTTTGCTTTACTTATTACATACACCATTCCAGCTCCCCATCCCAACCTCTTCGCCAATGAGAAGGGCAGGAGAGTTGTTTTACTAAGTAGTTCCAGGTTCTCATAGTCATTAGGATTCCTTTGCCACTCTCCTTGTGCTTGTACAGTGGTACCTCTGGTTACAGACACTTCAGGTTACAGACTCCGCTAACCCAGAAATAGTACCTCGGGTTAAGAACTTTGCTTTAGGATGAGAACAGAAATCGTGTGGCAGTGGCGCAGCGGCAGCGGGCGGCCCCGTTAGCTAAAGTGGTACTTCAGGTTAAGAACAGTTTCAGGAGAAGAACGAATTAAGTTCTTAACCCGAGGTACCACTGTATTTTAGTTTTGCCTGTGAAGGAACATCCTCCAAATAACCCAGTGTCTAATCTTTAAATTAGCCATTGGCCCTTCAGATGGAGCTGTACTCAGACTCCCATCATACCTGGCCATTGGCTCTGCTTCTTGCGGGGTTGGGAGCCCCACAATATCTGGAGAATGACATGTTTACCAGCCTCTGGTCTTACAGAAAGCAGCCATTCTATACAAAAAAAGAACAAATACAAAATGGGGACTCATCATTATTCTTTCACAGAAGTATTATGGCAACAGAACCCTTGCGACAATTGCAGACTCTGTGTGGGTAGCCAGAGAGGTTTATTTTCCAACTGTATGGAGAGTGAAGAAGGAAGTTCTGGTTGACCTTGTCTGTTCACCTCTCCAGGGGCCACTGAAAGGTTTCTTGGAAGCTCTTGGGAAGCTCCAGAAGAAGTTCTACTCCAAGGGGCTGCGCCTGGAGTGCCCCATCCGCACGTACCTCGTCACGGCACGCAGCGCGGCCAGTTCTGGAGCCCGTGCCCTAAAGACTCTCCGGAGCTGGGGGCTGGAAACAGACGAAGCCCTCTTCCTAGCCGGCGCCCCCAAGGGACCCTTGCTGGAGAAGATTCGCCCACACATCTTCTTTGATGACCAAATGTTCCATGTGGAAGGGGCAAAGGAGATGGGTACCATCGCAGCCCACGTCCCTTACGGGGTGGCTCAGAAATCCAGGCGCTTGGCACAGGCGAAACAAAATGAGAATAGCAAGTAGCAGAAAAGAGCGGGACTGGGCTAGGCCAGCCTTTGATACACGGAGAGAAACATCTCTATGGAGAGATGAAAAGTTTAGAACACCTTCCATGAGGACTAGAACCAAAAGGGTTGGGATGGCAGGTGTCTTGTTTGGGGTAGGTTGTTTGGGAGAAGGCTTCCTTACACCTACCTGTACACATTGCACTTTACAGAAATGCTCTTCCCTCTGCCTCACCATAACCTTGCGTGCCCATCACACCATTGCTGTCAGTGTCTGCTGGTAGACTTTTGCTTCTGCCCTGCCATCCACTCACAATGCTTCAAGGTTGATTGTCACCTTTTGCTCTTGAATATTCATGATATGTACTGTTTTTTCTTGCGGGCCGCCGCAAGGGGGCTGTGTTTTATTGCACGCTTCAACAGTTGCATTGTGCAGAATTTGCTAATGGTGCCAATTTAAGCGTTGTGAAATTCCCAGCTTTCAACACTAGTTTTGAAAGAAAAACAGCATTTTCTAGCTCTTATGTTTGCAAGGATGAGCACAAAAGCATGTGTGCAATTCCTTGATGGAATTTATCTGGAATCAGAAGCCTCGGAGAGCGCCAGCATTGGTTGGGTGGTGAGGCTGACCATGGGGTGACCTCCTGAGACTACCCCCAACAATGTGCCCAGCCCACATTGAGCACCCCAAAAACGGTCAAAGGTAGTGATGACCAATGGGGCCCATCACAAATGGATTGTCCAAGGGCCCCTCAAAGAGATTGACTGAGAAGGAGGCCTGCCAACAGAAAAAAATGCTCCATAAAACTCTTTCCAGGAAGAACTCTTATCAGGAAGGGCCACAGCTCAGTGTTTAGAGCATCCACCTTACACGTGGAGGGTCGCAGGTTCAATCTCTGGCATCTGAGAGACCTCTGCCTGAAATCCTGGAGAGCTTCTGCCAGTCAGAGTAGACAGTACTGGACTAGATGGTCCAATGGTCTGACTCGGTATAAGGCAGCTTCCTATGTTTCCCCCATCTCTCATGGCCAACAGAAGCTAAATAATTATGCAAAACACACATATGAATGCAAGTTTGCTTCATTCTTCCAATTTGCTCATCAAATGTGGCTTTTGTGAATGCCCCATGCCTGCCCCAACCTAAAATCTGCATCTGCTTTACCTCTAGCCAGCTTATGCACACTTACATTTTGCCTCGCTCTTTCCAGACAGAGGCCTGTGCTTTAATGCTCCATGTCTGAGCATTCCCCACCCCCACCCCAAGCAAAAAGGAGAGAGAGCAAGCACAGGATGATCTGTGTTTTCTTTTTATTTCTCAGTGCTTTGAGAAAAGACAGTAAATGAAAGCTGTGTTCCTGAGTCAGTGGATGGTGCTGGAACATGGACTATGACAACGCAGGTCCAAATCCCCACTGAGCCTTGCTGGTCACTGTTAGAGACTGAAAAATCAGTCTCAATCAGCCTAACCTAACACCCCTATGCCCATACACCATCCTTAGAGGAAAAGCAGGCTATAAATGTGATAAATACACAATCTGGAACCTTCCCATTCCAAGTGTGTCTGGGAGCTTTTCACCACTTACCCCCTGGTTTTTTCAGCAGGGCTCCAGAGGTCTATTGAATAATGTGGCATCTTCCGTTTTTAACCAGTGTTGCAATTTCCCTGCTGTGCTCATGGGCTGTACTGTTAACACGGGGCAATATCTGGGGAGCCGTTCCCTGCTTGACTGCCCATTTGCCACAGTGGAAGCAGGCGGAGGCTGCGAAAGGTCGTGCTTCTGTGTCTGCTGGCGGCTTTGCTTAGGAATGAAACAATGCAATCAATGACTGTCTGTCCTTCTGGGTGTGTTATCTGTAATAAATTCTGTCTATGTTACCATTCGTTCCCCCTCCTGTTTGTGAACTCATCATTGGTATGTTGATAGCAAGCTGAAGTGCTCTTGAACATAAGGACTAGAAACTTGGAAGAGTGACAGGGAACTAGGTGACAGCAACACCCCCTCTAGCATAGTACTAATTTTCCCTTTCTTGTGAATCAAAACCAAGTTATCATACCATTTACTGGAGAATATCCACATCTTGCCATTGGAGGGTTATTGGGCATTAGTATTGGGTTATTGGTACACTGTGGACCAGGGTGGGGAACCTTGGCCGTGAAGTGGGGTGCAAATGCATCTCTGTCTGGCCCTTGGACTCTGCCCAAGCCACACCCCTTTCCCTTGCCCACCCTCCTTACTGGTCTTGCTTTACTCCCCCCTTGGTTGTTTTTGGCTGCCTTGAACTCGGATCATGACTCTTGCTTGCCAGGATGAAGGACAGAGCAGTGTGTGTGAATGTGTGTCGGAACTAGTCTACTGTACAAACGTAAAATGTACATTTCTTGCTTTGCTAGCTTTTGCCTCTGGCCCCACCCAGCACTGGAATGCGGCCCTCAGAAGGAATGTGGCCCTTGGGCAAAAAAATGTTCTCCACCCCTGCCATAGGTAGTTTAACAGAAGCAGTTCTCCAGTCTCATTCCCAATTTATTACAGTATTATTTTTTTAAAACATTTTCCCTTGCTTTCTAATTTCCTTATTACTTCCTTTGGCCTCTTTCCCTCAAAGGAAGAGGAGGAGGAGGATGACCTCTCCCCCCCCCCGCCCCTCGCCAACATCTCTGTCTCCCGGCCACCTTCACTTGGCATCCAGGGAATTGCTGGTGCTGGCACCCATCCAACTGGGAAACTATTGCATGGCCACGGGTGGGGGGGCAGAGGAGTGAGGAGCCCCCGTAGGCTGTGGGACTGTTACGGGTGGTTTTTGGCCCACCATTTGAGAAGTGCATTCAAAGCCAACGTGAGCACAAATGCCACCTTTTCCTCCTGGCCAGTTCTGCATTTGGGTTCCGCCCTGGGCTAAAAAACCCCACTGCCTCAGGCTTCCTCCCATCCCAATGTGCATATTTGAATCCCACCCAAGCTCTGCCTATTTTTAGGCCTGTTAAATTTAGAAGGCCCACTCAGATTGCACACCCATATTTCTGAGAAGGAGCATCTGGCACCATTGCCTTTCCAGCTACTGAAACGTTTGATAAGAGGCACGCTTTGTCATACACTCAAGATTCTGAGGCCGTTGTCTCTGCTCTGCTATCTGAAGACAATGGCTTTCAGGGGCAGCATCCCAGCAAAACTCACCCCAAGGTTCCTCCTCATAATCTTCACAGAGAAGACCAGCGAAGGAAGACACGCTGCCCTGAAAGACAGCCTAGCTACCATGATCCATCCCTTCTGCACTCTGGATATGCTCTAAGGCAGCCATGTCCAAAGTCTGTTTTGGGGGCCTAATCTGGCCCACCGGTCAATTTAATCTGGCCCCTGTGGCAGTTTATTTCCTGGGGTAAAATCCTAAAAAAAAGGTTAACTTTGGTTGGCTCTTTGGTCGGCCCTCACGGCCCTTCACTTCATCAAATCTGGCCCTCTTTGAAAAAAGTTTGGCCACCACTGCTCTAAGGAAAGACCACTCTCCATTAAGACCCCAAAATAGCTGGAAATAAATACTACAACAAGGGTGGCCAGACTTTTTCGCCCAAGGACTAACCCTCCAAAGTTGAGTCCGGCCAAAAGTGGGTGTGGCCAGACTAGAGATGGAGGAGAAATCCCATTCAGTGTGCATTTAATCAATATATCAAAATTTCACTTCCCAAAACCGTATGAGAACCAAAATACAGCTGTTCTTCAAGATTCACATATGAATTTTGTGATGCAGTTCTTCAAACAATATTTACAAAAATGCTTGTATTAGGGGAAACATTTTGCCTATGAAATGTTGGGCAGGATGCAAGGGGTTTGCTGAAGGTAGATGCCTGAGAACCACAGTTCTCCACAGGTTGTTCCAGTATTGTGAAGCAAGGAGACTGGCATGCCAGCAGCCCCATTGCACCAGGAGGAAGAAAAAGAGGCCTGGCTGTGCTGCTTTGGGGAAAGAGCATCTGAAGGAGACTGGCAGATGGTGGGAACTCTGCAGGATGAAAGATGGCACAGCACCAGGAAGGCAAGGGCAGCCTTGGCTTGCATCTCTTGCAAGATCACTGGAAGCCTCTGCCAGGCATCACATTCCTGTGACAGTGCCCACTATTTATAGATGACATGATCCATGCCTTTGCCATGGGAGCATGAGAAAAGGCTTTACAGACTGCAAGGAAAGACCTCCTTTTCCAAAGCAAGGAAACGTATTTACACAGACAACTAACTTTGTCCCCATTCACCTCCCTGCAAGGGGCAAAGCTGAGAATAAGGAGGAGGAAGCCAACAGGCACTGCCACCCTCTAGACAGGTTGCAAGTGAGAAGACAGGCCAAGTGGGCTCTGGCAGAGGGAAGACTGAGGTTAGTGGGGCAGTGCCCCATTTGCCCTCATAGGCCACCCCCCACTGGTAGGCCTTCCTGTACTTGTCTCCTGCCGCACTGCAATTTGGCTTGGAAAAATGCCTTAGATTGGCTACAACAAAAGGCTTATTTTGAGCCTAATTTCAGCAGGGAGAGGTGAGGGCGATGATAGTTGCGGGCACCAGGGAAGACCTCTGCAGGTGAATGTGCGCTGGTGGGCACCACGTTGGTGACCCATGCTTCAAATCCTTCACTGGAGAGCCTCCTGTGGGTGCCCCTGCCATCTGATATTCTGTTTAAAGCTCAAGAGGGGACTCAACCTCTTCTTTTCAATACACTGCTGTTAACATTAAATTTGTTGCTTTATTGGTACAGAATGTATGATTTAAGGACTCTTCTTTTTACAGAAATGCCCAAAGTACTCTGGGCATGCAAATATTAAAAAATTAAAACCCAGGTAGTGAATAATTAACATGAAAACTATGGAACTTAAAAAAAGAAGGCAGCTTAAAGCCATCAAAAGTTAATGCTTTATTTCCCTTCAAGGCAGGACTATTGGACTGTATAAACCCACAAGAATTCTATATCCATTACAGTGGTACCTCGGGTTACAGACACTTCAGGTTACAGACGCTTCAGGTTACAGACTCCACTAACCCAGAAATAGAACCTTGGGTTAAGAACTTTGCTTCAGGATGAGAACAGAAATCGTGCAGCGGCGGCGCGGCGGCAGCAGGAGACCCCATTAGCTAAAGTGGTACCTCAGGTTAAGAACAGCTTCAGGTTAAGAACGGACCTCCAGAATGAATTAAGTTCTTAACCCGAGGTACCACTGTAGTGATTTGTTCAGCTGCCATCTTGGGGGACAACACTCTTTCTTTTAAAATGAAAGCTCAGAGTCTGCAGCACCTGCCCAGGGCACCACTGGAATCCTCCATTTGGCATTTGCCCAAAGCAGCCCTACAGTGGTGAGGTCAGGCTTTTGCTGAGATTAGCAAAGGGGCCAGGGCTGTCCCAGCAGATCCATCTTTTTCATTCTACATAAAACAGCCAAAAAGATCAGATGCAGTTGGAACAAATTCTCAGCTTGCCAGCTCTGTGTTCCTTGCTGAGACCTCTTGCCTGAGGACTCTCCTATTCCTGAAACTGGCAGTAGAAGTCAGCCTCCCAGTTGATGGTTGAACGACTCTCAAGGGTTTAAGGCAGCATATTGTATTCTGTTGTGTTTTTTTTAAATGATATTTATTAAAGTTTCAGACAAAATTACAATAATAAGAAAAAGATTAAAAAAAAGAAAAAAAGAAAATGCAAAAAAATAAAAAATAAAAAATAAAGAACAATTAAAAACAAATCAATCTTTCCATATCTTGTCTTTCATTTACTTGTTTCCCTGACCTCCTCACACCTCCCTTTTTTGTATTCCAGTTCAATTAGTTAATTCAGCAAATCCTTTCCCTCGTTGTTTTTAGCTTAATCCTTTGTCTTGATATATTATAACTCCCAAGGGTTTAAGGCAGCATATTGTATTCTGGTCCAAATGTAGTTGTAAATGCATGGAACAACTTCCTCCGAAGCAGGTGGTCCAAATATACATGTTTTTACATATGCATACCATACCTGGAGCGTAACCCCTGCATAAGATGTGAGTTACCTGCATATGTCAGTTAAAGGTAAAGGGACCCCTGACTGTTAGGTCCAGTTGCGGACGACTCTGGGGTTGCGACACTCATCTTGTTTTATTGGCCGAGGGAGCTGGTGTACAGCTTCCGGGTCATGTGGCCAGCATGACTAAGCCGCTTCTGGCGAACCAGAGCAGCACACGGAAACGCCGTTTACCTTCCCACCAGAGCGGTACCTATTTATCTACTTGACGTGCTTTCAAACTGCTAGGTTAGCAGGAACAGGGACCAAGCAACGTGAGCTCACCCTGTTGTGGGGATTCAAACCACCGACCTTCCGATCAGCAAGCCCTAGGCTCAGTGGTTTAGACCACAGCGCCACCCACGCTGTCAGCTAGCAGACCTGAATTAGAAAATCCAAACAGGTGTCACAAGAGGGCGCTGCTGAACCACCAGAAAGAGAGGCAGAAGGATCTGGTGCCGATTGGTAAAGTTCAAGAAGAACGGATTTAAGTGTTATTCCTGTCCTAAAACTTTCACGAGAAAATGAAAAGAGCTAGCGATAAGGACAGGAAATGAAGGGAGGCTTCCTGTCAGGACTGTGTGTGTGTGTGTGTGTGTGTGTGTGTGTGTGTGTTTGCATGCAGGGGCTCATCCCCACTTTTGTGCCATGTTTCTAGGCTCTGGTCTGGGCTTTTCAGGTCCAAGCCCCAACAGTTCCCCCCCTCCCCGCTTCTGCTGCTTTCCCCAGGTAAACCGGTGTTTTACTGCTGAATTGGAGCAAATGGCAATCAGATTTTCACAGATTGCTGTTTGTTCCAATTCAGAGGTAAAGAACATATTTTCAGGGGAAAGCTGTGGGGCAAATGGAAAACTGTTTTCTATGCGGCAGCCCTTCAGATATTTGAAGATGGCTATTATATATATTATATACCCAGTAGTGATGTATGGAAGTGAGAGCTGGACCATAAAGAAGGCTGATCGCCAAAGAATTGATGCTTTGGAATTATGGTGCTGGAGGAGACTCTTGAGAGTCCCATGGACTGCAAGAAGATCAAACCTCTCCATTCTGAAGGAAATCAGCCCTGAGTGTTTACTAGAAGGACAGATCGTGAAGTTGAGGCTCCAATACTTTGGCTACCTCATGAGAAGAGAAGACTCCCTGGAAAAGACCCTGATGTTGGGAAATATTGAGGGCACTAGGAGAAGGGGACGCCAGAGGACAAGATGGTTGGACAGTGTTCTCGAAGCTACCAGCATGAGTTTGACCAGACTGCGGGAGGCAATGGAAGACAGGAGTGCCTGGCGTGCTCTGGTCCATGAAGAGTCGGACACGACTAAATGACTAAACAACAACAACAACATTATATCTCATATTAGTTTCCTCTTTTCTGGGCTAAACATACCCAACTACCTCAACTGTTCCTCATAGGACTCAGCTTCCAGAACCTTTATCATCTTGGACCGATCAAGGGGAAAATGTCAAACAGAAGTACCAACTTGAATAAAATATGGGGAGGGGGCAGGTAAGCCCCGTCTCGCATGATCAATCACATGACACGGTGCGCACACACACCATTTAAATGGCAATGCCCATCACCTTTGTGGGTACCCAGCCCCCTCAAATATTTTATTGAGGGGGCCGAAGCCCCCACTGCCCCTAGAAGTTGGCTCCTATGATGTAGAAAGTGTGCTTCATCTACTAGAATATCTCTGTCTCTTTCCTCCCATTTAATCCAATTGACAGCATCTTTAATTTAACCGGGCACCTCCTTATCAGGCCATTAATAATTCTCATTCATTCTCCTCTGTGGTCTCCATTGCAACTGAAGTGTGAGTAAATTCAGAGCAGTATCTGTTTCATATCATTACAAATATGAGCTAATCCAGGAGCGGGGTTGCTTGGCACATAGAGGGCTTCTGACCACACTGCAGGCTGGGAGTTCTGGCAGGCAGGAATGTGGATTTGATTATAAAGGAGTTAAGTCACTTTGCGGTCTCTGCTGCACTCATAACACAGAGTAATCCTAGAGACAACATGTAACCAATTGCGCTGTAATTGAGCTGACATGACAAAAGTTCAGAGAAAGCCCAGAAATGGGGAGAGCTGCTGGCAGTGGAGAGCAATTCTGTTTCTGTCCAGAAGAAGGAAACTGTGCCATGATAATGGGATCAGTCATATAAAGTGCACCATGTTTCTCGGGGAATGAGTTTTTGTTAGTACCCAGCTGGAGACAGGTAATGGTTTTTAAGGAAGCAGGAAGTGCTTTTGGAGGGAAATTTTGTTTCCTGTGGTGGACACACACCTTATCAGGATACACACCTTGTTCCACTGCTGCCTCTAGAGAAACACATTTTTGAAACAAAATAAAACCTGCCACGTTTCTTTACCAAAGGCAAAAATGAATGAGTAACAACGGAAGCTGTTTTATACTGAACCAGGCCACTGGTTCATTTAGTTCAGTACTGTATTGTCTATTTTGACTGTCACTGGCTCTTCAGAATTTCAGTTTCAGCTGCAGTTAGTTGCCAAACTGCTTCTCTCCTGGAGGGTGGTACAGCCCTGCCTTGCATGCAAAAGGTCCCTTAGCATCTGCAGGTTGGGCTGGGAGGGAACACCTGGCGGGCTGCTGCCAGTCAGTGTAGACAACACTGATGGACCAGTGGGTCTGACTGGTCCATAAGTCAGCTTCCTATGCCCCTTGCTGAAAGGTGCACCCCAGAGTCCTTTGAAATGCTGCTGAGGATCCTGGGATACATGTTTAAGATTGTGCAGGGTTTATTTCCATTCTTGGTGCTTTGTAGCTTATGATTGTTGTGTGGGCTGCTGCTGGCCCTGAGATCCTTCGGTGTGGTTAGGAAAGTACTCTCTCCCCTTAAGCCCTCATAGCTCCACCACCTTGGGGCCTTCTGTTTGTGCTCTCTAACTGATCCTGGTCAATAGTCCTTTGAAGAAAGTCTTCTCCTGCAGCCAAGAGCCTTGAAAAATCTTTTTAAAAAATTATTCAGCCTCCAGTCCAGCAGAGTTGCAGAGACATGATGTGCCAGGTCTCTCTCTTCCACCCCCACTCCCACCCTCACCCCACCCCCATTTCTTTCTTTCCTTCTTTTCCTGAAAGAACTCAGGGCTTTATCAGTCTCGCCTCTTTCCCATGGTTTTCTGTTGCCAGGATGGTCACTGATCCTTTAAACTGCAGCTGAGACCAATCAGTGGAGGCTGAGGGAGGGATGGAGAGGCAATTCACACAGGCTGCTCTTTTACAGGAAGATTCCCCCCCCCCCCGGGATTTCCACCATCAAGAGGAGGGGGGGGGAGCAAGAGCAAGCCAGTAATCTCTCACCCCTGGGAGGGAGCAACTTCACTTACCATGCAGGAAGGTTGAAGATGTGCTGAGAAAAGGAAGGGAAGGCAGGAGAGGCGAAATCTCTGAGTGGGGGAGAAAGAAGAGCCCATTTCTCTATGTCTTGAAGAGGGAAGATCTTAGCAGCTCCCTGTGCCCCTTGGAGGAGGGAAAGGGAAGTGGTGGCCCATGTCCTTCTGCCTGCTCCGGGCAGAGTAAGGAGAAGGATGTTTGTCCACCGTTCAGGTGCCTCAGTATGAAGAGACGCTGCTGGGAGGAGGAGGAGGAGGAGGGCCAGCACTTGTCGGACACAGGCTTGGATCATGCACCCATTGTGGTGGGAAAAGAGGAGGAGGAAGAATGCAGCAGGTAAGGGGACACCTCCATGGTGAGGATGCCAAATGAATGGAACTGCATCATTTGGAGGCAGGAGGTCTGGTACCACTGAATGGTCCATGCCCAATTGCCCAGGAAGGAAGCTGGTAGAGGGAAGCCACTAGAGGCAGCTTCAGAAACACTCTAACACAGAGCTGTTCATAGATTTTGCTTTCCTCGTGTTATAGGATTTTTTCCCTTATAACTTGGCACTGATGGGAAACTTATTTGCATGAGTGTCTTTCATTTCCCGTTCAGGGGCAAATGGCGAGTATTGACTTCTGAACTCAGATGGGAGTACCAAGTTTTTTCATTTCAGCTTGTGTGAGATTCCTAATTTTCCTACCATTGAGCGGAAGATGTATCCTCATGCAAGCTGATTTCGGGCCACACTCCATTCAAATTCTGGACCACCAAATCAACGCTCATGGCCTAGCAGCAGCTTCCAAGTCAGGGCCGTGCATCTTTTCATACCAAGCGGGCCGCAAGAGTACTTTGACAAACAACTTGCGGGCCCCACACTGAATTAAATTTCCATATCGTAAATTAAAGTTATGTAGTATATTTCATATTATTGAATATACACAATTAATACATTTAATTAAATATATGTAATTAAATACACAATATATTTAACAAACAAATTTAATACACAAACAGATGTATACGCCTTTGTTAACAAAAAAGGCTGCGGGTTGGACTACCCTGTTCTAAGCAGTATTTAAGGGCAGCCCAATACAATGCATGGAATCGTAGTCTAGTCAAAAAGTGCTAAAGCCACAAATGCTTCTCACCGGATCTGTTGATGTTGTTTCTCAGTTCGCCATCCCCCACAAGGATCTTTCATGTACAAGCAAGAAAGAAGCGGAGAGGGGTGAGTGCTGCATGATCTAAAACCTGATTTATTTTTATTTTATTTTTAGAATGGTTTTTATATGCAAAATAACTTTCATTCCCTTTTGTTAGCCCTCACAGCAACCAGTGGGGTAGGCAGCTATCATTTAGATTTTACATTGAGGAAATTGGCTGAAATATAATGACTTTCTAAAAAAACCTCCCAGGTGTCCACATATGGAGAAGGGGCAATTCAAACCCAGGTCCCAAGACCATCCACTGTTTGATCTGAATTGCCAGACCTCAATATCTGATTATGGTCCTCCATCCCCAGGACTTTGCTGGAGTGGGGGAGTAAATTGCTGCCTCAGAGCTCTCTACATGGCCAGGCACCCTCTTCAGGCTCGCCTCCCACATCTTTGGAATGCCCTCTCTTGAGAACTTCAACTGGCTTCCTCACTTCAGTGTTTAAGTGGGTCCTAAGGATGATTGGCCAGAGTGATCTGATGCTGGCGTTTATTGCGCTGCTGTTCCACTAATTAATTATGTGACTACTGAATTGTTTCTACATTTCTGTTAACTGTCTTGGAATGGTTTGCCCTCAAAAGTGGCTTGCAAATAGTTGGGTGGTTACACACAAAGTTCTTCTGGGTTAAACATTAAACAGAGTGGATAAAGATTGATGATTTATTGATTTTTAATTTTAAAACATTTTTTATATTTTAAAGTGTTGTATTTCTTTTTTTGAGTTTCAGCAACAGTGAATTTCTCTTTTAAAAAATGATGTCATTTTAAAATGAATTCTGAACTTAATGTAGACATCAAAAACTTAAGGCCTACTTAATGTCTACTCAAAAGTAAGTTCTCTGGACTTACTCCTGGGTTAGTGTCCAGAGGGTTCCAGCCTCTTCAATGAAGTGCATGGTGCAAATGAATGATGCAGAGTTGTCCTTTTCCATGTTGCCCTTACAGATAATCGAGAAACGGCGCAGGGACCGCATTAACAGCAGCCTATCTGAACTACGGCGTTTGGTTCCCACTGCTTTTGAGAAGCAGGTAAGTGCATCTCCCTATCAAATTCCTGCCCCCCCAAGTTCTGACATCAGTCTCCTCCAGAATACATGTTCATTGAACATTCATTCTGATTTGCTTGCACACAGCTTATGTGGAGGTTAGACTATGTCCGGTCTTCATTGAGCATTTGTTCTGATTGGTTTGCAGGGAGGTTATACAACAATGAGCATTCATGCTGCTTTCATTCTGATTTGCTTGTGTGGTGGTTATACATCTTCCCATTAAAGAATTGTCCGCCGTACACTTTGCAGTGCATTTCCCCATTGCTTTTGGTATGGTCGCATTAGTGGCTTAAGTTGTCCCCCTCCTGCTGCAGTTCAAGCTGCACTGGCAAGACATTGTGTAGTTCAGAGGGGGTGTGTGTGTCTTCAACCCAATGTGCACGACCTTTTTGGTTGCATTCATTAAGCTTTCATCTGTGTATGGATGTTCAGTCCATTCATAGGCAATGGCAGACTCAAAATATTCACACCATTCCTAAGTACAAAGTGAGGATCATGTACGTTTTCCTATTGGATTGAAGCCGCTTTGAGAGAGAGAAAATGCATCAAACAGTGGTATTTGTCGATAAACTAAATGTTTCTTTTGAATTCTGGCTAATGTTGTGGGAATGTGGTTTCAAAGCTTAGCAGTGGGAGCCCAAGGGATATGGGCAGAGTATGGGGGTGCCAAGTTGAATAAAATATTGAGGAGGCCCAGTTAAGTCCCACCCCACATAACTGATCACAAGATGTGGTACACGCACACCATTTGAATTGCAATGCTCATCAACTTGAGGGGAGGGGTCAAATATTTTTTTTGGGGGGGCTGAAGGGACCTCAGCCCCTTAGAGTTGGCTCTTAATGGCAGAGTTAGTGGCAGTGTGAACATAACTACAGTATTGGTATTCCCGAACAGCAGTAAATCCTCTTTTTAGAAAAAAGAAAGAAAGAAATGAAGATAGCCATTGTGGTGTAGTGGTTAGAGTGGTTAGACGAGGACCTTGGAGAGACCTGGATTCAAATCCCCACTTGGCCATCATAAAGCTCATTGGGTGTCTGTGGGCCGGTAGCCTAACCTTACAGGATTCTTGGGGGATAAAATAGAGAGGGAGAGAGTCAAAATTGCCACCTTGAGCTGCTCGGAGAACAAGGTAGGATATAAATGCATTATATATATATATAAGTTGCACTAGGGCAGTGATGGCCAAACTTGGCCCTCTAGCTGTTTTGGGACTACAACTCCCATCATCCCTTGCTAACAGGACCAGTGCTCAGGGATGATGGGAATTGTAGTCCCAAAACAGCTGCAGGGCCAAGTTTGGCCATCACTGCACTAGGGCAATAGCACACTTTAATCCACGCCATGCCATGCCCCGCTCTCCCCCCCCCATATGTGGTTCCCTGACACTACCCTTAGATTCTCCTCAACTACCCTGGATCACATGACCACCTGAGCTGGCTTTCTGATGGGTATTTCTATCAACTCCCTTTATTTCTGCTGCCATCACAGACAGTGGCGTAGCGTGGGGGGTGCAGGGGGTGCCGGCCGCACCGGGCGCAACATCTGGGGTTAGGGCATATCCATGGGTTAGGGGGCGCAAATCCACAGGTTAGGGGGCGCAAATCCATGGGTTAGGGGGCGCAAATTACTTGCCTTGCCCCGGGTGCTGACAACCCACGCTACGCCACTGATCACAGATACCAAGTATCTGAATATTTCTCACCTCTAGCGTCGCCCAGTAAAGAGACATGTGTGTATGAAGCTATAATTTATTTTGTAAAGGTATAATCAAAGGCTTTATGATCACTCAGTATATATAAATGTATGTTCAGTTTTTGGTTACTTAGGCTCATTTAATACAATAAGGAATAACAATGCTGACCCTCTATCAAACTAACCCAGCCATCATCCAGATACCTCCACCTCTCATACCAGCTAACAGCTGTAAACTCCCAGCTGCCAGGCACACATTTTGGAACTCCCTTTCAAGCCCTTATCCCATCACCTCTCACTTCCAATGTTCCAAGCATGCTCTTTCCCCTCCCAACCAAACACATCTAATTCATCTAATATGCTTACCTACATAAATCTCACATATTAATTTTACCTTAATTACTCTGCTATACATATATGCACACAATATTATTTATGTATAACCCCAGCAAATCCCAAGGCACATCTAAATTTCTGGTATGTGCATGGATCCCTCCGCATAGTACTAGTGCTCTGGAAGCAGCCACTATCACACATTACAATCTGTGTTCATATAATGGGAGTCCTCTTTTTTCCAATGAACAGGGCTCTTCCAAAATGGAGAAAGCAGAGATCTTGCAGATGACGGTAGATCACTTAAAAATGCTTAATGCCATTGGAGACACAGGTAAAAAAACAAAACTGACTCTGTTCAAGTCTTTGCCATCCATGTTATGTTATTGCCATCCCATGTATGGAGACTAGTCAGATGCTGCTGCTGCAATTAGCAGTGCCAGCCCTACCATTAGGCAAAGCAGTGCAGCTGTCTCAGGTGGCAGAAGCTGGGGGGTGGCGGAAGCAGAAGCAGCTCTCCTCCCTCTTGCCATTCTGTCTAAACTTCTCCAACGATCTTTCGATCATAGGGTACAAGTAACTCCACATGGGTATATCACGTACATAAAAAAGGAGATAAAGCATGTAAAAACCCAGAGGATGTATTGGGCCTCGTAGCAAATATCCAACTCCAGTTTTTGGGGCTTTGGGGTCCCCTATCTTTGGCCCTGCAGGAAGATGAGGCAAGCAGCATAGTAGTAGCATGGATTATGTTCTGGCTATCTCCTGACATAAAATAAAATGTTCCTTTAAAGCCAGTTCTGGGCATGTCTGGGAGTACTTTGCTCCTTGACTGGGTGTGTGGGTGTGCATTTGCTGCTCTGCCTCAGGGGCCACAAAATGTCTTCAGTCAACCATAGAAGTTAGCATGTAGAGCTATGCTTTGTGTAAATGGCTCCCCAGCACTAATCTCACTCTATTGTGGTCTGAGGTCAAACTAGACGTGACCCCAATAAGCAATTGCCTGAACAGATTTACAGAGTGTCTGTGGCAAAGGGTTAAAGTCCCCCTGCACCTCCATCCTGCTGTAGCCAGAGTCCTGATTGTACTGGGAGACCTGCTGCTGCATCTGCCTGGTCCTCTTTTTCAACATTTAATCAGATAATGGTTGCTAACTGCACAGATGATGCCACATTGTGTTTGACTTTGCCAGTCCATTTCAAGTGGCATCTCCTGACAGAAAGTACCTTCAGGAGGCAACATATGTGCCTTAAACTCTCTTGCAAAGTGCATTAGCCTGCCAGGATTGCACTCCAAATCCCATTTCAGAGGGCATCAAAGTCATGTGTGTCCTGCTGAGGGAAGTAATGGCGGCGTATCTGTTTTTATTTTCAAAACACTAGATGCTCAAGTGCTGGCAGTCGATTACAGGACGATCGGTTTTCGTGAATGCTTTACAGAAGTAGTGAGATACCTGGGCACCGTCAAGGAGCAGATTGGCACTGATTCTATCCAGCTACGCCTCCTCTCTCACCTGAACAACTATGTGGCTGAAATGGAACCTCCTCCTAGAGCAACATCCTTCCTCTTGCCCTTCCAGTCCTGGCCTTGGTGGCTTTTCCATAAATCTCTAGCTCCTTCTTCCCCCCAAGTCCATCTCCTCAGGAGGGAGGACAACCCTGGCTTGGCTGTCCTGGCTGCTTCGTCAGGAATCTATCTGGGCCCCATGCTGGGAGGAACACCTATTTGCCAAATTCCAAATTCTCTCACATCAGTCTGCTCTGACACCTTGTTTAGTAGAACTTCATCATCCCAACAGAGTAAGCATCGCCCACTGATGACAACAGCCACCCCCAGTAGTGCATCCAGTGAGAGGCCGAGGGAGGCAGCAGCCCTCAGGAGCAGCCAGTTTGCAGCCCTTCTCTTCTCTTCATCCTCCTCCTCTTTGGCTCACAGTCCAGCAGCACCAGTTTACATGCCTCCACCACGTCCAGTTCTGCACGCTTCTGCTCAAGGACCAGGAATCAAAAACGGGAAAGCTGCTAGGGTCTGCCATTCCTGGACTATGGACCTTTGTGATCCTCCCCCCACCCCCAGAGAGAGAGAGATTTTCAGCAGCCTTCTCTTGAATAAAATCAAAAAGGGAAGCTGAACTCAACCCTCAGTCCTGCTTTTTGCATACATTAGAAGAACCTTTCCTGGCAATTTGTTGATTATGTTGTGGACACAGTCTATACAGTGGTACCTCGGGTTAAGAACTTAATTTGTTCTGGAGGTCTGTTCTTAACCTGAAACTGTTCTTAACCTGAGGTTCCACTTTAGCTAATGGGGCCTCCCGCTGCTGCTGCGCCGCCACCGCACAATTTCTGTTCTTATCCTGAAGCAAAGTTCTTAACCCGAGGTACTATTTCTGGGTTAGCGGAGTCTGTAACCTGAAGCATCTGTAACCTGAAGCGTCTGTAACCCGAGGTACCACTATATAAGGAAAATGCTCTTTCCTCCTGACTACCATGCCTTCATTGCCGCTGGGACTGGGAGTGCTCTCCTCTGGGCCATATGCATGCAAGTGTCAAGAGGACAGGAACATAGAGTGGGTAGTGCTTGGACAATCTGCACTGTTTCAGCTTTATAAACCCTTTTCCTTTTTCATGCTTGTTAGAGGCTGAGCATGCTGTTGTGGCACCGTAATAGCAAAAAGTCACCATCTGCTGCTGTACTTCCAGTAAAAAAATAATACTGTTGTTTGCCTTTTGCTTGGTTCAGCTGATGTACTTCCCTCTAATTTTTTGGAGCAACACACAGACAGGGAGAGGGAGGAAATGGTGTTCACTGCTTTCATAGCTCCCCTTCTGCATCTTTTCCCTCTTCAGCAGCGGTGGGCAAACGTTTTCAGCCCTGAGATCACTTTGGGACACCTTTCAAGGGCATGGTGGGTGGGTCCAGAGGCAAAAGTGGGTGGAGCAATGAAAGTAAATTTTACCTTTGTACAGTATGCTAGTTTCTACACATACTCGCACCCCCTTCTTTCACCTCTATACTGGTAAGCAAAAGGCATTATCAGGGTTAAGGCAGCTCCTACAATTGCCTGCGATGAGCTTGCTTCGTGGAGTGCTATTATGTCAAAGGGGAGGCTTCCTCTCTGCAGGCCTCCTACCCATTGGACCAGGAGGCTGGCTGGCTGATGCTTTGACTGGGACCTTGGAGCCTCCTTTGCTGCCTGGCTGGCAAATGAGTGCCCCTTACTGGGCTGCTGCATGACTGTGCAAGGAACTTGAGATGTTCTCTATAAGGGGTCACCCAGAAAGTTCTGGCTACAGGTGGTTCTTTTGTCACCCTCCCCTCTTCTTAACTAGGGAGGTTGTGTTAGGGGAAAGGCACTCCTCTGCCTGGCATCTTGGTGTGTGTTGAAGGAGTGTTCACTGGGCAAGGCAACATCATAGGCATCCTTTGCTGCTGCTGTGATTTCATTGGCACCACCTTTGCATAGGTGATATCCAGAACATCACTGGGGCGTGACATTGTGTTTGGGGGGTGTTGCCCTGCTGGGGATGCTGTGGGAATGGCTGTCAGTGCTGCTCTGTCTGTTCTTGGGGGGCAGAGGGAGCTGCTACATCTCAAGTCTAGGTCAATCTTGTCTACACAGACTGACAGTGGGCCCACTGAGCCATGGCTTCCACTCACACAGGCTATACTTTGTTTCTGGCTTTGCCATTGTAAGTTAACAGGATGATGCCAGCTACATTATGCCTAAGTGTGATATGCACAGTGGAATCACAGGATCGTTTTGGCTCTTCGAAAAATGTACACAGCCTACGATTTGTCTCCTGCTGGCAAAGCCATGAAAGGCCTGGAAATGTTGGAGATTAAAATGAGGTTGAGCTCCTCAAGATCACCCATTTATTCAGCATTTATCCTGATTTGCTTACACAAAACCTAGACAGAGGTTAGATTATGTCCAGACTTCACTGAGCATTTCTTCTGATTTGTTTGGTGGGAGGTTATATAACAATGAGCATTTATTTTGAATTTATCCTGATTTATGGGATACTTCCTGTTAATCATTTGCCCAACTCATATTTATCCGTGTATTCCCTGTCCTTTTCCTAACCCCTGACCTTTGTTTTGGTAGGTTATTTGTACTAAGCCAACAGAGCAGTTTAATCCACTTTAATTGTGCTAACCTAAATTTCTGATATGTGCTTGAGTCTCTCCCACAATATACTGACAGCTTCTATTTCAATACAATAAACACAACAGATAAGAACAAATGCATTATGTCATCAGCTGCTTCAGGAAAAAATCTAGTCCTGAAATCTTTGGATAGAAAGTGGGTTATAAATATTCTGAGCAGCAATAATATTGAGATTAGTGGCACACAATTCTCCCCTCCTTGCTTGCCCCCCCCCTGTCCTTTCAATGCCAAATCATGGACCATGTTTTTCTGACAGAAGGATGCATATGAATGAGGAGTGGGGTGTTTGAGTGAGAGTGAGATTAATATATGAGGAGAGAGAGGTACACCACACATCAAATTACACCACTTCCCCCAAAGAATCCTGGAGACTGTATTTCACCTCTCACAAAGCTACAATACCCAAACTACAGTTCCCAGAATTCTTTCCGGGGAAGTAAGGTGCTTTAAATGTGTACTGGATGTGCATCTGTCGCAACACCATACATTTCATGCTGCACCCCGCACTCAGCCACCTGGGAACTGTAGTTTCCCCCTCACAGAGCTACAATTTTCAGCATCCTTAAGGAACTACGTGATTTCAGGGGGAAGCCTCCCGGCGCCTTGGCGCGACGAGTGTGAGGGAGAAACGGGCGTGAGGAGAGAGACTGAAAAACAGCGCCGCCTCCTCCTCCGGCCAGGCGGTGGCGCTGCAGCTGGCGGCGGCCCCTCCGTCCCGCTCTGTGTTCCGCTCTTCCTTCCCCGCTTTCCTTGTCGCTGAGGCGGCCCAGAAGCCCTCGAGGCGGCGGCGCCGGCAACACGAGCAGCAGCGTCGCCCTCGGCCGGCGGCCCGCCTCGGCGCGGCCTATAAAGGGTCCTGGTCGGCCAGCGCTGCCCCCTCTCTGCTCGCAGCCTCCGAGGAGGGAAGAGGAAGGGAGGGGGGCGCGGGGAAAAAAACCTTAAAAAGAAAAAAAAAGCCTTAAAAACAGCAAAAGAGAAAAAAAAACCAAAGGAAAAAATTGATTATAACAAAAAGGAATAAGGAGGAGGGTAATTAATTTAATAATAATAATATAATTAAGCAATTGTGAATTGCGCGGGGGCCGCTTTTGGCTGACGCTTCTCTGCCTGTCTGCCTGTCTGTCTTTGCCTCTAATAACCCCCAAATCTGCCTCGTGATTTTTCTTCCCCCCTCAGTCGTCTTTGGTGTGTCTTTTCCCCCTCAACACCCCCTCCGTATTTATTCCTATTTATTTTCACCTCGCCTCTAATCTCCTTGCCCCACCTCCCGCCACCCTAGAATCGCTTTCCCCCACCCGGCCCGCCCAGAGTGGGTCGGAACCCCGTTTCTTTTCTTCCCCCGTTCACCTTCCTTGAAGCCAGAGCCCAGGTTTGCCTTGCCGCCTCCCCAGTTCATTGCCGCCCCTGCGCCCCACTTTCCGCGCACTTTCTCCTCTCCTACCACTATTCCTTCGTTCTCCCTCTTAATGACTGCAGGTCTCTCGCTTCGTCTTGATCTGCTTGGCCTTCTGTACTGTTTTCCTGCCCTTTAAAATTGCCCTTTAAAAGTTTTTTTTAAAAAGAACTAAAGCCATACCAGGCCTTGGTAGATACATATTGTTGTCTTTTTAAACCAGATTTTATCTGTGTTGCAAAGTAGTCTTATAGGGGCAACAGCTGTTAGTTATTAATTTAAAATGGCACAGGGTTATTGACCCCTGCTCCTAAAAAGTTACCCTTTTAATATCTGGAAGACAGGGAAAGAAGTTAATCCAGAAGTATTAAACTACAAATTTAAAATACAATCCACAATTGCTCATTTTGCAAGGGAAAGATATACGGGTTTTTTTAAAGGCAGAATTGGAAATTTCATTTTAAAAAATACATTTAAACAGCTTTTTGAAACATTTCAGGTCCCTTAACTTAGTTTTCTGTACAAATTTCCACCCAAATCTGATTCAGTCCTCTTAAGTCAAATATTAGTTATATTTTTGAAATTTGCACTGCTTTTTTCTCTTATAGCTGCTTTCCCTTATTTTCCAATACTTTCTAGCATTTCTTCAGCCTTTCCTCTTAGCTCTGACCCCATTCCTCTAAAAGCTAGTGAAGTTTTTTTAAAAATATATTAAAAAATACTTTTAAAAAAAAGTTTAACATAAGCATCTGGGCCTCTGAGTGAAAGATGAACACAGCTGCTAGTAGCTACCCGATGGCATCTCTGTATGTGGGTGACCTGCACCCTGATGTCACAGAAGCCATGCTGTATGAGAAGTTCAGTCCTGCGGGTCCTGTGCTCTCCATCCGTGTCTGCAGAGATATGATAACTCGTCGCTCCCTAGGATATGCATATGTTAACTTTCAGCAACCAGCTGATGGTAAGTACAGTATGGGGCAAATCAAGATTATTTATTATGGTATCCCAAAGTTTGCACTCTGCACACACCACTTGCTTCTCACCATTTCCTTCCAGCCACGTGGTCTCCCAGAAACAAGCACTGGCTGAAACTAGAGTTGTCTGAGCATTGCAGTCTACAGGGGAAGGAACTAAAGGAGCCTGCAGTTAGGCAAATGGGCCCAACAGTTGTAGGAAGTTGAGAATAAAAAGCAGTTGGAAGAGCTGCAGTACCCTAATGACTGAAATACGGAGTTTTGGTGAGAGAGCATATTGGCTACCCTGGATGAATACTGTGTGAGAGAAGCAGCCCTAATGTAATTATTTCATGTAAGTTCACTGAGGAGCTTTATGCATTGTAAAGCTGGATATAAATCAAATAGATAAATGCATGGGTACATCACCTGGAATTCTATTTTGTGGAAGCTCAACTTGAATATGATGGAGGTTTGTAGAGAAAATGAAAAGCATTTTTCAGTAAATGTTTCAGAAGGCTGCCAGTCTATCTGCCACAGTGCTGTATAAATATGACGTCGAGCATGGGGGAATGTTTATTTTACAGCAACATCTCAAAGCCCATGGTCACATGCTGCTAGGGAACCTCTGCAGGGCAAGGGGTCCAGCATATTTACGGTGCAACAAGTGCTGTGGTGGAACCTCTTGTTGCATGCCTACTTCCAACTGTTCATCCCCTCTCAGCTGCAAGTGGTGTATTCTAAGGGTTGCTGTGCTTGCCAACACATGTCTTTGGAGCACCTCTTCTTGCTATAAATAAACGCTGCCAAATTTGACTAGCTGGGCTGAGGTGCCACTTGAAATGGAATTCTTTTGGTTAAAGCAACACAACTGAATCTTCCCTTACAACTAAAATCGTGGTGCCTCCCCCTCCCCCCCCTTTCAGCAAATGATTGACAGTAAGGGAATAGAATGAGGGTAGGAGTCCTTGAAAATGTCAGCCATGGCTCACTCTTGGGTAGTGTTCATGTCTTGCTCAGTAGGTGCTTTCAGTACCACCTGCCTGGTAACGTGACCTGGAGTGTTGGTGGAAGCAAGCCGCCCCTTAAGCACTACTCGTGACAACCCTGGTCTGCATCATGCTATGATGCAATGGACAACTTGAAACACAACTCTAGGCAACAACAGCAGGTGGTCAGCCAGTGAGGGTTAATTTTAAGGGTTCTGTGTAGTATTTTGCGCATACTTGTTCAGAACTATTTTTGGTAAAAGGGGAAACTTACTTTGGGAAGGCGCTGAAATGAATTGATGGCAAAAAAGACAGCATTGCCTCCCCCTTGAGATGCAGACAGTTTAATATTCATAAGGACATGCATTTTGAGGTATAGTCAAGAATGATGAGTGATTCATTAAATTAGCTAACTTTTTCCACTCAGTCTCCCTATATTTAGAATATCCTATATCAGGGAAAAGAAGCCACAGGTGTTTAGTACAGTTTGGCCAGGCAGCTTTCTAATTTTGTAGGTGAGGTCTTGGTAAAGAAGGCATATGATTAGCTTCGTAAAGAGTACTTCTGTGGACATATGTGAAATCTTAAGCCTGTATTCATTCATTCTCCTGATTTCTGTTGCCCGTGCTCCCCCCTGCTTTACCCGGGCTCTTTTTTGTCAGGTGAGGCAGCCAGGAAAGCCCTACATGGGTTCCTCCCCCACCCCCAGTTGGGACAGTTTTGCCTGTTAGAGGCAAATAGGTGGGTAGCATATCAGGTAGCACATTCTCATTCTAGCCTCAGGCTTGCCTGCTCTCTCCTTCCTGCTACTCACTTGGCGTGCCAAGTGAGTCCCAAGCCTCTGAATTTTATGAACAGGATCCTGGTGTGTATATGTCATCATCCTTTTAATATGCTACTCAGTACAGAAATAGAATCCTGAAGGAGGATTAGTGTGAGTTAAGGGAGAGTCTACATTGCCGAAGCTTTAGAATATGTTTAGAATATGTTTAGAATATACTTAGTTCGAGTAGGACTTCTCTGATTCTGTATTGGCATAGGGTGAACATACATAATAATGCCTGAATGGCAAATAAAGCAGTGATGCTGAAGTACACATGGTAATACCAACTTGGTTCCTAGTCTTTTGTTGCTGTTTATAAAAAAAACCTGGCACTGGCAAGTTTTGGATATGCACCAAGCATGTTTCCTGCCTGTCTCACCTGGTTAGGGAAAATCTTTCCATCAGTATGCTTGCTACTACATACACTAGGTGCAGTACAGTGGTACCTCGCAAGACGAATGCCTCGCAAGACAAAAAACTCGCTAGACGAAAGGGTTTTTTGAGCTGCTTCGCAAGACGATTTTCCCTATGGGCTTGCTTCGCAAGACGGAAACGTCTTGCAAGTTTGTTTCCTTTTTCTTAACACCATTAATACAGTTGCGACTTGACTTCGAGGAGCAACTCATAGAACGTGGTGTGGTAGCCTTTTTTGAGGTTTTTTTAAGATTTTGGTGATTTTTGAAGCTTTTCCAAAACTTTCCCGACACCGTGCTTCGCAAGACGAAAAAAATCGCAAGGCGACAAAACTCGCGGAACGAATTAATTTCGTCTTCCGAGGCACCACTGTATTTGCACTGTGCTCCTGGACCTGTCCATATTAGTGCTGATGTACTGAATTACCTGGGACGCGGGTGGCGCTGTAGTCTAAACCACTGAGCCTTGGGCTTGCTGATCAAAAGGTCGGTGGTTCAAATCCCTGCAATGGGGTGAGCTCCCGTTGCTCAGTCCCAGCTCCTGCCAACCTAGCAGTTCAAAAGCATGCCAAAAAGTGCAAGTAGATTAGTAAGTACTGCTCCGGTGGGAAAGTAAACGGCGTTTCGTGTCCTGCTCTGGCGTCGGTGTTCCGTTGCGTCAGAAGCGGCTTAGTCGTGCTGGCCACATGACCCGGAAAAACTGTCTGCGGAGCGGACAAACGCCGGCTCCCTCGGCCTGTATAGCAAAATGAGCGCTGCAACCCCAGAGTCGTTCGCAACTGGACTTAACTGTCAGGGGTCCCTTTACCTTTACTGAATTACCTGCAGAGGTCATAGTCAGTATTGGCGATAGTCAGATGTTGAGTATTGCATAGATATGCATGTACATAAACACACCTTTCCACCCCTTCTCTCAGTCTTCAGGTGGTTTGCTGCTTAGTTGAAGGAAATATTTTATTTATTTAAAACACAAATTATCAAAAAAAAGGTTGCCTAAATGTGTGGTGTGGGTAGAGAATGAATGTCCATAAGGTTGACATTATTTAGAGACACCTGCTTGTGAAGGATTGCTTCCCTTTTTCTCAAAGGACAGTCTTTTTATTGCTTCTCATCCTACAGCTGAGCGAGCCCTGGACACCATGAACTTTGATGTGATCAAAGGGAAACCCATCCGCATCATGTGGTCTCAGCGTGATCCTTCCTTGAGGAAATCAGGTGTAGGGAATGTCTTTATTAAGAACCTGGACAAATCCATAGACAACAAGGCACTTTATGACACTTTCTCGGCTTTTGGGAATATACTTTCTTGCAAGGTAAGACTTTTTATCTTCCCAGGATTCCAGGAAAATCTACTTATATGTATTTCAACATATGAGGTGGTTTGGGTCTTAAATGCATGTAAAATGGAATAGGATTTTTGTGTGTGTGTAAGTTAAGTTGCAATATGGAAATCTAGTAAAAAGATCACTTAAATGATCTGGAGACAAGAAGTTCTTGCCAGGTGTTCTAACTGCATTTCATTTCCTTTCCTTTCCTTGATTGGAAACTTTGCTTAGACATTGAACAACAGCTCTTGTGATTTCATTCACAATATTGGTGCAAAAAAGTATTTTTTGCACAATTTTGGTGCAAAAAGCCTCAGGTTTTTTGAAGCTCAGTTCAGGTGAAGAGAAGTGAGCAACCCAACACCTTGGGGTGCTGGTACATGCTATTCAGTTCTGCCCAATTGCCTTGCAGGTGGTGTGTGACGAGAATGGCTCTAAGGGCTATGCCTTTGTGCACTTTGAGACACAGGACGCTGCGGACCGGGCCATTGAGAAGATGAATGGCATGCTGCTGAACGACCGCAAAGTGTGAGTGTCTCGGCCAGAAGCAGCGGCAGCCACCGCATGAGCCGTGATGCATCTCAGTATTAACCCACAAGGCTGCTGGTTCTCCTGGCCCAGCTTTGGCCTGCTGCCTCTCTACTCCAGGGCTGGTGAGTTTCCCTGCCCGAGCCACAGCCTACTCCCCCTGGCGTAGGGGCCTGCCCCTCACTTTCTGCCTCCCTGCTGCTGGGCTTAGTTGACTCCCTTCTGGTTTGCCCTGTTGAGTAGCACTGGGTGGGTGTTTTTGTGCTGCTGCTTCCATATCAGGACTGGATTTTTCCGCTTGGTTGTTTACCCTACTTATTTCTGCCCTTCTCACACCTACCTGCTGCCTGTTTTTTTGTTAGTTTTTGTTTTAACCTTTCTTTTCTGTTGTTGGCAGGGGAGCGTTTTTCATCTTAGCTTTTCTCTTTTCCCCATCCAGATTTGTTGGGAGATTTAAATCCCGTAAAGAGCGTGAGGCAGAATTGGGAGCCAAAGCAAAGGAGTTCACCAACGTCTACATTAAAAACTTTGGGGATGACATGGATGACGAACGGCTGAAGGAGCTTTTCAGCAAATACGGTAAATATTCCAGCAGCAAGTTGTTAACATTCTGAAGCCATCATAGCTGGTACCATTTTGTTGACTCGTTTTGGAACTTATCATCTAGGCTCTTGGGTGCTGTGCACGTGAAGCATCCTCGCATAAGGACAGTCAAGAGTTTGGTTTCAGGAAGTCACAGTGATCCCTTACGGCTAAGCCAAAGGCTGAAAGAGCCGAAAAGATGCCAACAAAGCATCCTTGAGTGCAGGGGGCCATTCTTCCTACCTTCTTCATTGCTGTTGCCTTTAAACTATCTGAACTTGAAGGGTGTTAGATATGCTGAACTGATAGTTTTAAAAAATACGTATATATAGTTTGTCATCATATTATAATGCTTCATTAACTAAGCTTTTATGTAATACATTGTTTATGACTTCACCTTTTAGCATTTACAACCCCCCCCCCCATTTTAAACTCTTTGGTTATTATCCATGTACTCACTGGAGCAAATTAATATAGAGAGGATTGAGAACTTATTTTTCAGCACTTGGTGTTCTTTCTGAGAGCAAAATTGTTTAAATTCTTATGCGTGAGATTATCTAATAGTTCCTGGCAATAAAATATAATAAAGGGAAAAGGAAAGAAAGATTGCAAAGCAGAATAAAATAGGGTGTTTCTCCTAGGAGATATTGTAAACATTGGGTCTCATCCTGGCAAATTTGAAGCATCAATGTTGACTTGGTGTAGGGAATAATCCTTAAGCTACAGGTTTTCATTTTGAAAGCTCTTCCTTGAAATTTTGCTGTAAGCTACCTTTGCTAACTCTCTTCTTCTGGTAATAGGTAAGACTCTCAGTGTTAAAGTCATGACAGATCCCACTGGGAAGTCGAAAGGCTTTGGTTTTGTGAGCTTTGAGAAGCACGAAGAAGCCAACAAGGTATATGGGTTACAGAATATGCATTACCTCCTTCTGGATTGGAACACAGGCATTCAACAAATGTTTATGGGTGGCACCCAAACACAGAGCCAGTCTTATGCCTTGGAACTGTTTTCCACTATCTGTCAGCTGTTTTCCTGCAACCACAAAACAAGGTGGTTTGGGACTTTAAAGGGTTTTATTTATGGTTAAAATGTGGTGGTTCTGCAATTATTTTTAGGGGTGGCACATGAAAAAAAAGGAGCCCGCTTTAGATTGGGGGCTTGGATGGACCTTGCCCTTTGCTTTCAGCCCAAAGGGTAGCCTCACTCTGGTTTGTTTCATGTAGCTTTGCATGTCTCCCTGTTGACAGATGGGGAAATGAATACATGGCTATCCCTTTTTAATTTTTGGCAGAACTGGAAGATGTCTGCCACTACTGAGTGGATGAAGCCTGCCAAATTTCAGATGGGGTGGTTAGTCCAGGAGAAGAAATAGGAGTGTTAATAAGAGTGTTTGTAACCAGTTCAGCATCTTAGAGACATTTACTCTTTTGAAATCCCTTACAGGCAGTGGAAGAAATGAATGGAAAAGATATCAATGGGAAAATGGTGTTTGTGGGCCGGGCACAGAAGAAAGTGGAGCGCCAGGCAGAGCTGAAAAGGAAATTTGAGCAGCTAAAACAAGAGAGAATCAGCCGGTATCAGGTAAAAGGAATATGCTCCTGATTTGATTAGGTTTCTAACATCGCACATTTGTGGAATGGAACCGTTATGGTGTGATTTGTCTTAGATTGCCATCTGGACTCTGTTCTCCTTGTACATTCTCTGTTGTGTCAAATAAGATGGACACTGTCAAATTAAACAGTGACACTTAGTGGGATTGGCCACCTGTGAAGGTTTTGGTTCCATGAGTAGCGGTTATCAGCTGAAGGTCCTGTTTGAGTAAGTTCAATAATTGGATGGTAGTAACAATACGTGGGTTGTATGTAGCATAGAAGAAAGTCAAATCCAGGGAAGGGGGCTGATGTGAGTTGCATCTGAATCTTTCCCGCTCCTTGCTGTGAGGTGCAGGCCCGGGGACATATGATGCTAAAGCAACGCAGAGGAAATCCAGGCAAGTTTATGTTCTCTTACAAAAGACTTGCCTCTACAACTCTGTAACATTTCAGTTTTGGGGGGGGGTTGCCTTCAGCAGGTGATGGAACGTTATTTGTTTGTAAAGATCAATCAGTACGTATTGGCTTTGCTTGTAGTTTACTGCTTGTAAAGATGAATTGTTGTCCCCTTCTGCATTGTTACTGTGGCATGCCAATTTCTTCTCTCTGTTTTAGGGAGTTAACTTATATATTAAGAACCTGGATGATACAATTGATGATGAGAAGCTGAGGAAGGAATTCTCTCCTTTTGGGTCTATCACAAGTGCCAAGGTAAAGACTGGATGGAATTTAACAGACACAGAGTAAGGCTTCATAACTGAAAGTCCCTCAGAAGTAGGAACTGTTGAGGAATCTGCCTAAGGGTGCAATCCTAAATATGTTTAGTTAAGACCTGCTGAACTCAGTGGGACTTAATTTCAGGTAACCTGCTTTGGATGCATCTTGTCCATAAAACAAACTTGGTTTGTGCTATGTGTTGAAACCTCTGGGGGCAAGAGGATAGTGAAATTACCTGCAGCTTTGCCTCTGATGATTGTATGATCCATGCTGCTGTTGTTGTGAGAGGGCTGCACCTGAATCTTTCCCAGGCCTGGCAGAATATGTGTAGGCCTGGGGACACATGGTGCTAAAGCAATGCAAAGCAAATCCAGACAAGTCACTTCTCTCTTTGTTGAGGGCTTGTCCCTACACCTTTGCAACATTGGGCTTATGCAGGGCAGTTTCCTGGGTTAAGTTCAGCAGTGCTGTGCAAGTCACATGATGAGGCATAGGGGTACCTCAGGTTCTGCCATTTGGGTGTTAAAGCCTGCAGTTGTCCTGTGGTGGTTTTCATCTGCACTTTTAATTAGCAAGTGATAGATCAGGGATAAAGTTATCATCCATGTGTGAACTAAGGGCAGGGAGAGGGCTGGCTGGGGTTACTGAGCAAGCCTGCTTCCAAAGTGCTATTCTTATATGTCCTGTTTGTGGTTACAAACTTATCCCTGGCAGAAAGCCAGTGGGCAGAACCGTTTGCAGAGTGCTGTTGCATGAATTCTCTTAACAATGGGACTCCTCTAACACTGCCATCTTGAGGTGTTTCCCCACCCACCCATGGCAGTGTTCCTCCAGCTTAGGCAACGACGCAGCATCAGTGCAGAAAGCATGAGTCTTTCTTTCCCTGAGTTGCTTTTAAAAACTACCTTTGTTTAGGTGATGCTGGAAGACGGGCGAAGCAAAGGGTTTGGCTTTGTCTGCTTTTCCTCTCCGGAAGAAGCCACCAAAGCTGTAACGGAAATGAATGGGCGCATTGTGGGCTCCAAACCACTATATGTTGCATTGGCACAGAGAAAGGAGGAGCGGAAAGCCCACCTCACCAACCAATACATGCAGCGCATTGCTGGAATGAGAGCCCTGCCTGCCAATGCCATCATCAATCAGTTCCAGCCAGCTGCAGGAGGGTATTTCATGCCAGCTGTGCCCCAGGTAAGTCCCAGCAAAAATGGGTTGTGGCTCTTCAAGGATTATAGCTACTCTGTCCAAAATACTAGCTTTGATGCATGATCTGTCTACAGCATATTAAATTACTTGAAATAAGCAAAACTATCACCTTTTAAAATTTGTAGGTTCTTGGTCACTGGAGAATGAAGCATACAGGATGTTTCCCCCCCACTTTTCCTGTGAATTGGGGGTTGGAACATATGAACAGGGTCATTTAAACCTGCTTAAGAACTATTTATCAAGTTGCTTTGAGACTTTTTCTTTTGTCTAAAGCAACTGATAAATGTTAATAGTAATTTGCAATGTGACTGCATGCCCTGCTCTGCTTTTCAGGCTCAGAACAGACCCACTTACTATGCACCTAATCAGATGACTCAGATGAGGCCTAACCCACGCTGGCAGCAAGGAGGGAGACCTCAAGGTGAGCATGAAGGAGCCACTTGGACCTTGGAGGCACAGCCAGGAAACCTTCCCCCCCCTCTCTCAAGGGCCACATTTACCCTTGGCCAACTCTGGGGGGTCACATTTCGGTGGTGGGTTAGTGTGGCCATTCCACATTCTCACATGTGCAGACATCACATGTATACAGGAAAAGTAGCTGTCCTGTGCAGATCAGATGAGGAAATGAAGTAGGGAGGGGGCAGTTTGCATCCCCATCAGGCTGCTGAATCCACCCACCCTGTGCTGTATCTGTTTTTTTCTTTTTTGCCCCTACAGCCAAAAATAGTCTTGTGTGACAGGGGGAAGAAACATTTGCTTGGGGCAGCCTTATCAGGTCCCTGAGCCAGGAGTTGACCATCCTTGTAAAGGCAGTCATCTCCTTTTTTGATCTACCAGGATATGGTAGCCTGGCAGAAACTGTGTGTCACAAATGTCTAATCCCTGTGGTTGTCCTTGCCACAATTTAGTTCAGTTGTATTGCCCTACTGTGATTGACCAGTAGCTTTGTGCTCTCTATCTCTCTGCCTCCCCCCCCAAAAAAAACCACACACACTCTAGGCTTCCAAGGAATGCCAAACACTATGCGCCAGTCTGGACCAAGACCAGCCCTACGACACCTGGCTCCAGCGAGCAATGCTCAAGCCTCACGTGGCATGCCTGGTGCAACCCAAAGGGTTGGTAAGTGACTGGACTTGCAGGGTTTCCTACTGGTTTATAGAAGCTGATTCGGGATGTGGATAGAAGGTAGATCATTCTGTTTTCTGGTGTGTGCAAAGAGTGTTGGGGTTCTGCTGACCATTCCTTCTGAGGGCACCTGATAGTGTTGCATGACACTTGACAGTCAGTAAGGTAGTTGGGTCTGTCTATAGACATTTTGGTAGCAGAGAATTTTAGTCCTTGCACTTAGTACAGTACTATTATTGACCATTAATTTTGTAACCTGCCCTTCATTCCCAAAGGAACCCAGGGTAACAAACACTTAAAAGGCAAATCTTATTAGAATTGACAGATAATAGCCCCAATTTCAAATAAACTTGCTTAACAGGACTAGGATTGGGGACACCAGGCTCAAATTCCACACTCAGCTGTCAGTCCCAGACCTAACTTGCATGTCACATTAAAGTTAAGCCATAGTTTTAAAAATCTGCATGTTAATGCGACTGAGCAGCATGCACCAGCAAATCGTGAACAGTGAGCTACAAACAAACCTTGGTTACCACTTCTCGTTTGGAGGAAACAAGCCATGAGCCCAGGTTCAGACAGTGTGACAGCTGGACTGTGGCTCGTTTTGTCAGCAGCAGGGGAGCAGCAGCACAGGAACGTGTGAGAAGCATGCATTAGCACGCTGCTCATTCCTATTAAGCCGTAGCTTGCTTTACAATCTGGTCTAATGTCATCTGCAAACAGTTTATTTGTGAAGATAAAGTGATGGTAGTGGGGCTATGTTGTCTTGAGCTTTTGAAAGGGATATGTGATACTGTTGACTTTTTTAAAAAACAAACCTTCTGATTCTCCATTTTGTACCTCTTTTTTAAAAACACCCCAGGGGTTCCTGCCACAGCTCCAAATTTAGCGCCTCGACCACCTGTAGCTGCGCAAGCTCCAAGGGCTGTTCCGCCATACAAATATGCCTCCAGTGTCCGCAGCCCCCACCCAGCTGTACAGCCTTTGCAGGTAACACAAGAGGCTTCGCATGGAAACATCAGTGTTAGACTGCAGGGAATATCTGTGTTCTGGTTTTTCCTCTATAGAGCTCAGGAAAATCATGGTCAGATCTTTCAGTCTCAGGCTGAAACAGTGTCTGTGTTCCTATCATGCTGGTTCAGACCTGCTTTTCTTAAATTTAATGCGGCAGATTGTTTTCTCCTCTTTGTTTGCAATGCAGCATGATTCTGAATCTCAACCAAATCTGTGGTCAGCGGGCAGTTTAGTAAGCATTCTCTATGTAAGCAACTGTTTCTGTTATGACATAAAAAAATGGCATATAATTCAGACACTTTGCCATAAACATGTATAGTCTGGGCAGAAATCAACAGTCCAGCTTTGTGCAGGGTAACTGAGTTAACCTAAAGAAACTTCTTCAGGTGCTTGCTTCACTAGGTTCAAGTCTGTATTTAGCATATTAGGACAGGGTGAATAAAACAATAAAGTGAAGTTACCTTGGGATTTTGGTGTGGGCAGACTACTGCCAACATAGTACACCAAAGCTTAAAAGCTTGCAGTCGCTGTCCCATGTGGTTGTGGGACAAAGTCAAGGTTCTGAATTTACAAGGCCATTAATATGTTGGGTCTAGGATATTTTAAGGACTGCGTGATTCCTGCCTCATCACAGAGTTATTTAGGGGAGTCTCTGTTAGTGGTTCTTGATGGCTCAGATGCATGGCTTGTATCCACCAGAAGCCATTATGCAGTAGTGTGGCCCTTCCAGCTGAGATTAGACAGGCCCTTCTCCACTTGCCCTGGTGAACTTCAGGCATTTGACAAAGACCTATTCCATCAGGCATTTTATGGAAGCTCTGTTTTCCCAGCAGCCCCTTCCTGCTGTTTTATTAAAGAACCTTGCTGATAAGATTCAGACATTTCCTCTTGCGTCCCCAGTTTCAAAGTTTGAGGATTTTGAGATTATGTAGTTCCATTCCCTTTAACAAGTTCTTTCCAAAACTAAGAGTTCTTGTAAGAATGATATACTACTGTTGTGAACATTTTAGTTAAGATATGACTTCTAAAAAGAGAACTTTTGGCATATAATTCTTTGATAAGTTTATTGTTTTAAAATGAACAAAGAACCGATTCCCTTTTCACTTCTTACTGTGTTGTTTTATTTATTAAATTTATATACCGCCCTTCATCTGTAGATCTCAGGGGTGTTCACAAAATAAAAGTTTCCTTCTCTTTTACAGGCCCCTCAGCCTGCTGTTCATGTGCAAGGACAAGAGCCTTTAACTGCATCCATGCTAGCTGCTGCCCCTCCCCAGGAGCAAAAACAGATGCTGGGTAAGCCAATCCTTTCTGTCCCTCTGAGATTTGGGGCACAAGTGCCGTAGGCAAAATCTTGTAAAAGCAAGTTTCTTTACAATATGTTAAGCACATGTGTACAGAAGTGACAGGGTACATAATAGCTTAATATCTTACTTCTCTGATTGTAAAGGATTGTACTGGAAAGCTATCGATTCCAGTTTGGTGGGGTGGTGGGCAACTCCCATTTAGAGCTTTTCCTGGGAAGCTTCATAGAGGACCAACAGAGTCTTGTGTGTTGATATCCCATGGCACTTAATATTATGATTTAGGAAGATAGCTGCTTTCTGTGTTGATCTCCAGTCATGGTCCCTTTGACGCAGCTGATTATATTTCTATGCTGCTTATGTGTATTATGTTACATGACACCTTTGGCATCAACTCCCTACTGAAGGTTCCTTGGGTTGGTTGGAGGTGGGGCAGCACAGGTGAAATGGAGTCTCTCACCCTTCACAGTTCTTCCTCTGGAAACAGCTCCCTTATGAAGGGAGAGTGGGACAGGGCAGGTGGAAAAAGCCATTACATGCTGGCCAACACAGTGTCTCTCACCCATCATCTAGCTGACTGGGTGGTACAGAAAATACCTTCAGACTCAAGGATCTCTTCCCCCCACATTGCCCTGGCTGTGTGAGCCTGAAGTTGACACCCTTCCTCTTGACTGGCTTAACTTTTGCTTCCCTAGGAGAACGTTTGTTCCCGCTTATCCAAGCTATGCATCTCAGCCTTGCAGGAAAGATCACAGGAATGCTGCTAGAGATTGACAATTCAGAGTTGCTGCACATGCTAGAATCCCCAGAATCCCTCCGTTCGAAGGTAATGGCTCTCCCCATTCTCTTTACTCTGCTGCATACATTCAAGGAGGAGTATCCTTCTTTTTGCTTTCTTGGGTGAGTGATAGTGAACCTGGTTTCTTCCTGCCCCAGGTGGAGGAGGCTGTGGCAGTGCTGCAAGCTCACCAAGCCAAGAAAGAAGCTGCCCAGAAAGTGGGCATAGTTGCTGCTACCTCGTAACTAGGGAGGCTGGTAAGTATTCCAGCTGGCCTAGTTCTTCTCTTTGCTCACAGCTGTCACTTGCCTTTGAGAGCGGATATGGAGAAGCTGTGGATCTTTCTGTCTTGTATGTGCCAAAAAGCTGCATCAAGAAAGCAAGTATGGTTTGGTTCTAGGCTTACCCGATAAGGATAACTTGTCTTGTGTTTGCAAAAATGAATGTTGAAATTGTCCCAGGTTCCATGGGCTATCATTATATCCTTTAAAAGACCAAAACGTTTGCATAAAGATTCAATTGATAATCTCAAGTAATTACTTAAAATCAGTAGAGAATTTAACTTTAACAGAATTCAGGGTTGATTTCTCCTCCCCTCAACCTGTACTTCACCTTGATCCATAACTGCTTTGCAAAGTAACCCTAAAATGTCTATGTTCTTCTCAAAACCTGTAAGGTGCAACAACATACAGAATTACACTGTCTGAAGAGTGGGTAACTAGGAAGAAATTGAGGAACTAATTCAGCATTACAGCATTCTTTCTCTCTTTATAGGTTGTAGAAAGCCAAATGAGCCCCCTGAAGAAACCACCCGAAGCTGTTTAGAAAATAACATTATACTGCACATTTCAATATCATGCGACATAATACATTGCCAGTGTGTAAAAAAAGTTAATATGCCTTATTTGCAAAAATAAAATTAAAGAAAAATCCTCTACTGCTTTTGGTTTCCAAGATTTAAATATGCAAGTTTTCCTTCTTGAAGCCAGGGTTGCAGCTACCTTGTCTTCCCATGAGCAGGCACTTACATTTTTCTGACTGAACATTTTCATTTGTGGTTCTTGGTTTTGATCAAACAATCTTGTTTGCAAAGTCTGGAAAGTGTTATCAATAAAATAATTAAAATATTTCAAGTAATTGCCCGAGTCTTCTTCAAGCCTCCTGATAATGTGGCCTCCAGGTTTCAAATTATTCTGAGTGCAAACCCCTTTAGGTAGGAACCCCGGTGAAAGCTGGGTTGAAGTGAAGGAATTATATACAAACACTATTGAGGGCGAGTTCCTTTTGCTTCCCCTTATTTTCATGCTGCCACACAGCACCAACTTGACTGACATTAGCATTCTATTTTCAAGGCTGACATCTATGTGGGTAGTATAATTATGATCACAAGCTGAACATGAGTCAACTGTGCAGTATAGCTTTTTTAAAAGGCTGTGCAATATTGGACTGCGTTAACAGAACCCTAATGCACAAATCTGAGGATAAAAAGTTCCATCAGAATGTGGCAGAGGGAGAGATTAGAAGCAGGGGTATTCTGTTGGCTCTGCTGAGAAACCAGATGCGTTTTGGCTCTTTCTCAACTCTTACCTAGCAGTAGCCATTCCACAGGCTACCTGAAATGCTTCTAGCCCACCCAGTTATTTTAAGAATTGGCAACTGCACTAACTTCTTTTCTCCTCCCTCCCCCTTTTGTGTCGTGTCTTATAAATTGTAAGCTTGAGAGCAAGTACAGATGTGTTTTACTGACATAAAGCTGGTCTAGCAGTCCACTTGATTGTGTGTCAGGCCACAGGTGGAATACTATTTCTGGGCCTCACATTTTAAGGACACTAACATGAGTGTCTCCAGGGGAGGGTGAAGGGCCTAGGAACCAAGTCATGATTGAAAGAGCTGGGAGAAGGTTACTGGAAGATGTGATAGCAATCCTCAGTGGTCTGAAGAGCTCTCATGTGGCAGACTAGAACTGTTGGCTTAAACGTTACAAAAAATGTTCCTGATGAACAGTGGAACAGTCACATATTGAAGGATATATGTATGTAAAGATTATTATGATGGCATGATTTTCTTTGTAGGCGTGTGTGTTTTTGTTTTGCTTTGTTTTTCTTTTTTGGATTTTTTGTTTGTAATTTTTGTTGTAATTTTGCATTGAAAATATTTTTTTTAAAAAAATAAAGAACAGTGGAACAGTCAGTCTCAGGAGATTTTGGGATCTCCCTTGCTTGGAAGTATTTAAACAGAGGCCATGTATCTGTTAAAATGTTGCAATCTACACCCTGGATTGGGATTAGATGACTTCCCAGGTCCCTTTCCAACTACCAGCACTGCCCAGGCTGCTTGGGAAGCCTCTATTTTAGCTGTTTTGGGACTACAACTCCCATCATCCCTAGCTAACAGGACCAGTGGTCAGGGATGGTGGGAATTGTAGTCCCAATACAGCTGGAGGGACAAGTTTGGCCATGCCAGTGTAACCTGAGATAAGATACCCAGTCTCTGATATTTAAGATCTAAAGAACCACAGGTAGTTCTGCATGCCTTACAAATCTGTTTCTTTGTATCAGACCACTATGGAAACTGCAGAGGCTTTTCAGAATCTTGTTTGAAATATAGCTTAGGGCCCTGCTATTTTAAGAGGCAGAGGAATCCTATGGCATGCCCAAGCTCTCCTGGGTGAGCTTATTAATAGCTCTTCGGATCCCCACCTATGCATTTCAACAGTGAGCAGATACTTTGGGAAAGAAATCAGTTGGCTACAGCTTAGGAAACACTAATGAAATTAACATTCTGTATTATTCTGTTCCTTTTGTCATTATAGAAGACAATTGTTCAAATGATCTAAGTTTGTTTGTTCAAGAAAGATACGCAAGAGGCGGCTACTGAGTCAGACCAAATGCCTCTCTAGCCCAGTGTTCTGTTCCCACAGTGGCTGACTAGATGCCTCCAGAAAGCTCCAAAACAGTTGCCCTCTGGAATCTGAAGGTAGCATATAGCCATCATTACTAGTAGCCATTGGGAAAATTGTATCCTGTGCATTTTATCCAATTTCATTTTAAAGCCATCTTAAGTTGGTGGCTATCATATTCTGGTTTCCATGCTTAGCTACCCATCTTCATTGGGTACCCTGATTTCTAGTATTGCGGGAGGAGGAAGCTCTATGTATTTTCTTTACCACTCATCTCCTTCCTTAGCTGCTTTTCCCCCTTCTCTGAACTAGCCGCCCTGCTGTCAAAACGTTTTTAGCTTTGCTTGTTAGGAAGGTGCGCCAATCCTGTGTTTACATTGGTGGCCTTTTTCTGCACCTTTTCCAGTTATGGGCTTCTTTGTGAAAAACGGAGTAATAGTATTTCACAGGCTGCCAATGGAAATACGTCTCACTGCAGGCATGAACAGCTGCCTGTTGGGCCCCGGGTGACCCACAAACTTTTGCCTGTACCTGTTGGTGATACAGAGTCAGACTCCATGTGCCTCTAGCTCAGTGCTGCCTACACTGATGGGCAGCGGCTGCCCAGGGTTTCAGGCAGGGCGCTTGGAGAGATTCTAGTTCTCATGGCTCTGATCAAAAGGGCCGAAGTAAATCGGAACATGGGAAGCCGCCTTGTGCAGACTCTTGGGTCCCCCCAAGCGCAGTACTGTCCACACTGACTTCAGGATTGCAGGCGGGGGTCTTGGTCCTGCCCCCCTGGCCCCCTCTCCCCTAGGGCTGGGCACAACAGCGCCCCGCCCTGCCCGAGGAGCCCCGCTGCAGAGCGGCTTCCCTGGGGCGAAGGCGCGCAGCGATGACGTTTTACTTCCGGCGCGGAAAAGGATTGTGGGAAAGGAAAAAGATGGCGTCTACCAAGAGGGTGCTCTATGTGGGTGAGTGAGAGCTCGGGAGGCGGGGAAAGGGGGCCGGCGGCGGGAAAGGGGGAAGGGGTTGGCGACCCCCGGGACCCCCGACTTAAGCGTGTGGCCTTCGTGCGTCTTTCAGGCGGGCTGGCGGAGGAGGTGGACGAGCGGGTGCTCCACGCAGCCTTCATCCCTTTCGGCGACATCACGGATATCCAGATCCCCTTGGACTACGAAACAGGTGAGGAGGAGGAGGGGGGGCCGCTTGGATTCGTAGCTACAGCAGCAGCAGCCTCGGGTGGCTTTCTAGAGGCTTTGGACTACAACTCCCATCAGCCCCGGTCCAAAACCTGCGGAGGGAGGAGTTCCCGGCGTTGGGGAAGGCTGAGCTGGAGGGCGGGATTTTTCTCCTGCACCTTGAGCCGAGAGAGGATTTCTGCAGGTGGTAACTTTGCCATGCGGGGATCTTCTCTGCTGCAGGGCTAATGCTGAAAGTGCAGGAGCTCTATCATGGCCACCCTCGGCATGCAGTGATTCCTGTTGCTTTGAAAGGCGTTTCCCTCTGGCGTGGGATGTTTCTTCCCCAAATCCCTGCTTGGCCCCTCCAAGTGGGTTTGAAAATGGGCCCTGTGTGTTAGGTTGGGCAAGATGCCAGAGAGGACAGAAACCCTGCACCTTGAACAGTTGTGTAAAAGAAGGGAAACCACACCTGGCATGCGAAGCTGTGCCTGTTGAAATGGCTCCGTTTGCACAACTGCTCAAGATGCTGGAGCCCTGTCCTCTCTTGCATCCTCCTACTCGAGGTCCATCCATGGACAGGAGTGATGCTTTGGATTCCTAAGGAAATACTTGAATTTTTGGGCCACCACATTACATTTGATATTGTATGCCTTAAGTGTAATAGCAGGTGGCTCAGATGCTAAGGCTTTTTCCAAACTGTGACCGAGGTGAGGTATCCTTAGGTTTAGTCTTGACAGCATAACATACTGTACTTGTTCTCAAATGAGACTCATGAGCTTCAACTGCTCATCATAACTCCTGGATGACACACAGAGCTCCTCTTTGGACTTTCAGCTTCTGGTGTATGAGCTCCATAAGCATTTTTTCCATAAATGAAATATGAAAAAGAGTGTGCCCAATATTTTGACCATCTATAATTTCACTTCACAGTGTTTGTTAATTATTTGTGTTGTTCTGTTCCAGTCATTTCGATCTTAGATTAGTTCAAACCCATCCAGATGGGCGGAGTATAAATAAATTATTATTATTTTATTATTTTTAGGAGTTTAGCTCTGAATTCTTACTTCAGCATGATGCAGATTGGTTTTAGATTTGTACTTATAAATTGGTCCTGACAAAAAACAGAACTTCTAGGCCAAGATCTTTGTGGCTTCTTGCTTTCTATATTCTCTGAGAAAAAACAGCATCCAGGTGGTAGAATGAAAGTGAATTTCTGAGCATTTTACTTCTGTTCACTAAATGGTCTACTAGTAACATGCCATAAATCAAGTGGACGGGGCTTCTGAAATGTCAGTGTGAGATATTTTGCTTCTCTTTGCAATCTTATGTTGATGTTTTTTGTCTGCGTTGGAGCCTTTGAGTGCTAACTTTTCTCTTGTATTTCTGCAGAAAAGCATCGAGGTTTTGCTTTCATTGAATTTGAGCTGGCTGAGGTGAGGAATAGCAGAGGGGGGAGTTTTGAGGTGGATTTTCAGATTTGTTGAAGTTTTGCTCATCCATTTCCCCTCACATTTGCTGAACTGCTGGTGGGGTGGTGGTGGTGGTGGTAAAAAAGGGTGCTGACTTGGGTAGTGGCTGGGTTTAATCAAAGAAGGAAGGGTTGGCCATTAGATAATCAAGGCCTTTGAGGGTAGGGGAAACTTCTTGATTTTCCAGGAATATTTTTATAGTTGCTTGAATAATTAAAATTGAATGAGCGGTAGAGAGTAAATGTAAATGTATCTTGGGTCAGAAAGCAGTGTTTGAAGGCACCATTAGGATTACAGCGGAACAGAAGCTTGTATTGCTTAACCATGCAGAATCATGACTCTTCCTCATTACATTCCTGCTGCTCCAGTTAAATTTCAGAGCATGTGACTGTTGAAACTGTGAATGGGCAGAATTGTAGACTGGTGTTCAAAAGTGTATTTCTGTCTTTGTAAGCCTGTAGCGATAATGTGCCTGACTATCCTGCTTCTTGTGGCTCCTAGGAACAATTTCTCTCTCACACTTAATACTTCTTGGCATAGGGACACCAAGCTGGAGTGAACTAGATGAGCAAGCAAGCACATAGTAAAATCTGTATTTTTCCTTTTAGGATGCTGCAGCCGCCATTGACAACATGGTAAATTGATCTTACTTACTTTTCTGGAAAGTTCAAATGATGCCCCTGCTCTGGATTCCATTTCATGGGAAGAAAGCAGCCCAGACACCTTGGGCCTCCCTTCTGGGGTGCTTTACACAGCCTCCTCATGCAAAAATGTTAGTTTCAGGTGGCCTTTGAGAACTAAGAATTGAAAGATCTCCTTGCTATGCATTAGCCTGATTCACAAACACTAAACCAGTGTTACAGAAAGCATTGGGCTCATGTGCCCAATGCCCTCTGCTTTCCTCCCCTCCCCCTGAACTGCCAGGAAGGAAAATTCTATGATGTTTTTATTAATGATTAATTTATATACCACTTAATTGGCAAAGTGACTTATTTGTCACCCAGCAGGTGTGATCTTGGGCTAGTTGCTCCCTCTTAGCCTAGTCTACCTCACAGGGTAGTTGCGAGTATAAACTGAAGGGGTGCTGCTTTGAACTTTGGCAGAAGGGTGGGATAAAAGTATGTCATTAAATAATACTGTCCCCCTTTCTAGAATGAATCTGAGCTCTTTGGGAGAACTATTCGTGTCAACCTGGCCAAGCCGATGAGGATTAAGGAAGGATCCTCCCGCCCAGGTGAGGCATGGAACAGATTGGTGCCACAAGCTGATAGTCTTAGCTATTGTGTGTGAGGAAACCATTGTATTTTATACCTTGATGGCAAAAAGATCAATACTAGATTCTTTTTCCCCCTTCTGTTTCTCTTTGACAGTTTGGTCAGATGATGACTGGCTGAAGAAATTTTCAGGAAAGACGCTGGAGGAGAATGTGGAGGAAGAAGGGGCAGAGCCTGCCCGATCAGAGGCACAGGAGGTACAAAGGCATTATCTTGGCTTGTGGGTGGGAGGATGCAGCGCTCTGTAGTTGCAACATCTTTGGGGGGACATAACTATTGAGCCACATCTACACAGGGGGCTTGTTACTAATAATCTGTTGCACTTGCTGAGCACTTTCAGTCCCCCTTAAGTTGCACAGTACCCCAAGTTTAGCCTGCACAGCCTCTTTGCCTACCTGCACAATGGATGGTAGTGTTACGCCAGTGCACACCAGGTTGCCTGACAACTGAGTGCAGTTTGGAGGCATGGCATGCTCTTCTTCCACATCACACAAACCTTAAGAGGGCTTTCTTTGCTTTCAGAGGTGGCAAAATTCACTTAGAGATCACAGCAGCAATAGTAGTAGTAGTAGTAATAATAATAATAATAATAATAATAATAATAATAATAATAATACCACCTTTATAAAGTGCTTTGAAGTATCTAGTTGCTTCCTGTACATTATCACAGCAAACCTTACAACAATCCTACTAAGGCTGGTCACATAGAGATAGTGGCTTTGCTGAGGTTGCTTTCAAACTCATGGTTGAGGTGACATGGGTTTTGGACTTGGAAAAAGCTCTGTGTTTCTTCTAGGGTGAACCACCAGCAAAAAAATCAAGGGCAAACCCCCAGGTTTACATGGACATCAAGATTGGAAACAAGCCTGCTGGTCGATTGAACATCCTGTTACGATCAGATATTGTACCTATGACCACCGGTAAGAAAAGGCTCCTTTTTGTACAGTGGCAGGTTGGAAACCCCACATTTCCCCCCACAGTATTTCAGATCAATTGCCTAGATCCGCCTCGCTCTGCTTTTTGAAGTTGGAGGACAGTTCAGCACCTCACCCGTTCTCTTAAGAATTCCCACAGATGGCAGGCACTTGCTGATATCCAATTTCATTGCATTCAGAGTCGACCCATTGATTTCAGTGGGTCTACTCTGAGTGTGACTATCATTAGATGTCACATAGCAACTCTGAAGTAACATCTGTAAGCTTCCTTTGGCCCTGGAGATTTGATTTCAAGTAGTTACATGTTCTCTAGCATTGTTTCTTTTATCCTGGGCTGCAAATCCCTCTTTCCCAGTTGAGCACAAGACTGAGTCAAAACAGAATCATTTTGTCTTTTCCTGCTTATCCATTAAAATTCTGCCATTTCCTGAAGCAGCAGACTTATTCCCTTATCTTCCTCCTTGCTCTGATGTGAGCTAAAGAAGCCCCTCTCCTCTACTGTGTTCTGCATCCTCTGCAAACACGGGGAAATGCCATTTTACTTGTCTCTTTTTCTCCTGCAGTGGAAGTACTGGCATTGTTGTTTATTTCTGCATATATTAGATACCGTTGCTTTGTTTTTAAATTGTTTTTAAATTTTAGAATTCAGTTGGAATTCAGTTAAATTATCAGTATAGTCAGGGCTTTTTTTTCCAGCCAGAACTAACCAGAACTCAGTTCTGGCCCCTCTCAGGTGGGTGCCATTGCCATTATCGGAGAATAAGTGAGGTGTTCATGGTGAGTCCAGACACCTTTTTTCTAGAAAAATAGCACTGAGTATAGTAGAATTATTCTAAAGAAGACTGAAGAGGCTGAACTATTACCTCATTCAGCTACGTTTTGTTGTATGATATGAGGCTATCTTTGTAGCTATCATTAGACCTGGGCGATATATATTGATATATTGCCCAGGACAGGTATGAGGGGTAGACTGCGAATGTGGTTTCACTAAGCGGTATATCGCTAGTGAAACCTCCACTGTTCCCTTGTCCCTCCAGTGCCCAGCACAGTGAGGGAGAAACAAGCTGCAGCTGACCACTGAAGGACTCAGAGCTGGGTGCGTTCACCAGTGTGAAACTGCCATCGCGGTCTGCCCCTTATGCCAACACAGAGGGAGAACCAAGCTGCACTGGCCAGGTGCCGATACAGCTTGTTCCTCCCTCCGAGTCTTTAAACTGCTTGGCTGACAAGTGCACGGCTGCCCTCGCCACAGCCAAGCAGTTTTACAGAGCCCCCAACCTGCCAGTGGCTCGTGTGAGCCAACATCGGCGTGGGAGCTCCATTAAACTGTAACCGCTTGCGGCTGAGGAAGCCTTGATCTTTCTCCTGCTAGCATGCAAGTGAGTGGGAGTGGGAGGCTTTGCGCTCCCTGGCTGAGGTGTGCAAATAAGCCCCCATCCCTCCGGCATGCACGCGTGCCAGATGGATGGGGATCTTGCTCAGCCGGGGGTCAAGTCTTTGCGCTCTCTGGCTGAGAGGGCCGTGCCAGCGAAGGTGAAAGGGAGCCCTGACGACAGAGTCTGCCAGGTTCCGTTGCAGTGCTTCCTCTGTTTTTTGGCAAGGGAGGGTGCAAGCAAGCAGCCTCTTTCTCATAGGAAAAGGAGGCTGCATGCCCCCACACCCACACTCTTGCTGGCGAAGCTGAAGGATCCCTGTGAACAGAGCCTGTCAGGCTCTATTCTCAGGGATGCCTCCATCTTTGCCGGCAAGGAGAGGGCAAGCAAGCAACTTCTTTCTCCCAAGAAAAGGAGGCTGCTTGCCCGCCCCTCACACCTTGCTGGCAAAGGCAAAGGGAGCTGTGCAAACTGAGCCTGTTGGGCTCCATCACAGGGCTCCCTCCATCTTGGGGAGTGGAGGGCTAGCTCAGCTGGGGGGACGGGAGCCTTCATGCCCTCCAGCTGAGCAGTGGGCTGGGGCCAGCTGCATTGCTGAAAGCACCTCAGCTCCTGCAGAGAGTGAGCTGAAGTAGTCTCAACTGGGGCCTTGCAGGCTGGGGCCCATGCAGCTCTTTTCAACTGCGACGTTGGGTTGGTGATGTTGAAAACCTAATATTGCCCAGCCCTAGCTGCCATAACCCCCTTCGTTGTCCTCCTCAATTTTGAACATTTCTGTTTTGACCCTCCTGGATTGCAGAGAACTTCCGCTGCCTGTGCACACATGAAAAGGGCTTTGGCTTCAAGGGGAGCAGCTTCCATCGTGTCATCCCTCAGTTCATGTGCCAAGCGGGAGATTTTACCAACCACAATGGCACTGGGGGCAAATCTATCTACGGGAAGAAATTTGATGATGAAAACTTTATCCTGAAGCACACAGGGGCAGGTAAGTCACAGAGTTGCTGGGGTGGAGGGTGCGTTTATTTGCCCTCGAGTTGGTCAGGCAGTTTGGCGTCGAGGTTCTCTTGATCTTTTGACTTGAGCCTCCTGCTTTAATTGCTGTGTTGTTTAGAATTATTTTATTGTGTATTTTAATTATGGATGCTTATATTTTAATATTAGCATAACCACTTCATAATTTGTAAATGACTTAGAAGCCTATTTTGGCAGATGCATACATTAATGAATACTAATAATATCCAGCAGGTTTGTGCCAAGTTGGAGCATGCCCCAGAGTCTGCTCTGTGGTGGTGCAGGGATAGTTGGGGTGTTGTTATCCTCCTGCCTCTCTTCCCTTCACTCCAACCAGCCACCACCATCAAATAGTCAAGTGGGCTTCCTAAGGCCCTCTTGCCCAAGACACCTGGTCCCCCACTTCTTGCATTGAAGCTAGCTCTGCACAAAAGAATCCAGGTTCCTCAACACTGCTTACTGCAAATGAGGCAGAATTGTTTCTTTTACTTAGCTTTATTCTAAGAGTGTTTGTTTTTACATAATCTTCCAAATTTCAAGTTTCCAGGCAAAGAATTAAAGGAAGTGGGAGCTGTTAGATTTTGGGGCGGGGTGGGGGTGGGGATATATTGCAACAATGCAAAGTGTGAAACGTTTATATCTCCCAAATGGTGGTAGTTGGCTTTTTTAAAACATACAATTAAATGCAGGTTTAGAAGATGCTACAGTATCTTCTAGTCTTCCAAAGCTGGAGGTGCAGGAGTTCAGCCTCAACTCCTTGTCTTGTCTTGTCACCTGTTCCCCTCTCCTCAATTTGTTATAAACATGCACGCACACACACACACACACACACAAACAGATTTTTTTATTCCAGCGTTGGAGGAAATTTTGAAAAGGGTGGCTTGTGTCTTTGTAGGCTTGCTGTCCATGGCTAATTCTGGCCCCAACACCAACGGCTCACAGTTCTTCATCACATGTGATAAGACTGACTGGCTGGATGGGAAGCACGTGGTCTTTGGAGAGGTGACGGAAGGAATGGACGTGGTGCGGCAGATCGAGGTTAGAAAGCCAGAGGGACTGAAATGTCCCAGCACGTTTTTATTTCTTCCTTTAACCTGACTTTAACATCTGCTCCTCTCTCTCTTTATTATAAAGGCCGAAGGCAGCAAAGATGGGAAACCAAAGCAAAAAGTTATCATCTCGGACTGTGGTGAATATGTGTGAACGAAATGCGCAGAGCACCACATCACTTGGTTACAAAAAGTGTATTTGTTTGTCCTTACTGAGATCTGTAGATTCTAAAGAAATCTATTTTGTACAGAACTTTTCCTCCTATAAATAAATTATAGCTATTTTTTTACACCTGGCCTTTTAAGAGTTTAGCTTTTTAAACTTTCTTGCCAGTTCAGCCATGTTTGTCTTTCTGAAATACAATTAGAACTTTTTAGGTTAAAACACTATAGACTTCTCTAACCGAACTCTTTCATCACAGGAAAAAGCCTCCCTGAGACATTGCATTGTCCTTTTCTGGACATTTTCAAGAGATTGAAAAGGTACTGTGGAGATTCTTTAGATCTAGGAAAACCTGGCTCAGACCTAATGAGACCTGGGGCAGTTAGACAACTTCAATAGATGTTTGAGACCTTAACTTTAATATCCCAAATCTACAGTGAAGCTCAGCCTAAGTCCTGTGCCCAGAAGATGCCAGCATGGCCACCTTGTCACCACTAAATCTGGAGAGCTGGTGGTTACATTATATACAACGTTAAACGATAATCTAGTGTTTGTTTTCTTATTTCAATTTATTTGTTGACTGATAAAACATTCCTAGGTGGCACTGATTGTGTAGAAATCATTGTGAAATCACACTGAGAGGCCTTCTGTGAATGGGTCTAATGCCCCTCTAAACTCTATAGGTTAGCCATCCTAAAATAGCTCACTTAAAAGAGGTTTAGATCTATTTATGCTCCCAGTGGTGATCAGCCAGGGTAGAACCTCCATGTGCCAATGCAGCATACCCTTAAGTACCAGTTTCATTCACCACACAATACATTTCAGAGTACAGTTGGCTCCAGCAAACTTGATGGGGTAAACTGCCACCAGCATCTCCTTCCCAGCTCCCTGTCCAAGTTTTGATGAGCTCTTGCAAGAAGTGGGGTGGGTTGAAATTGGAGTAGCCAGAACACACATGGTTCATTGTTCAAAAAAAATGTAATCCAGACATGCTGTATATATCCAGTAGAGAATCAGATTGGTAAAACCTTCTGAACAACCAAAGGAAAGGATTTTTTTTTCCACACAATGTATAATTATGGGGTTTGTTGCCACAGGATGTTGTTACAGTCTCTACCATAAGTGGCTTAAAAAGAAGATTAAGACCTATCATCTTGGAATCATCACTGATGGCTAAAAATGAAACTTGTGTCTAGAAGCAGCAATGTACCACTGAGGAACCGATTCAGGAGCAGACAGGCATGGGCTGTTGCTGCGATGCCTGTGAGATTCGAGGGAAGTGAACACTACACTTGAATGGGCCTATGGCCTAATCCAGACAGGCTCTCCCTACTTAACTTCTTATGCGTCACTGGAGCTGTAGCAGACTATGCCAAAGGGAGTGAACTGAGGCCACAGACCCACAGGAATGGGTGTGGGCTGCCGTGCCTCTAATTGCTGGGGAGAGGAACTGGCTCTTCAGGTGCATGTAAGGAGATGCCCAACAGATCAAGCTGGAAATGCTGAGGATTCTGCACAATCTTCCTGGCCTACAGAGAGATTGTGGTGTGGGAGTCACTGAATGATCCTCTGCTTGGGGACAGTGAGTAAGGGGGTTCTTTGGGGCGCTTTAGAGACGCGCGTAATTACTCTGAGCAAAGCTATGTGCAAGTTGCAAAATGGTTCCTTGTTCTCTTTAGGAAGGGAACAAGCAACCCCCCTGGCTGCAGATGTGCTGAGCAAGGCAGTCGGGAAAGCTGGTTGCTGAAAGAGATGGAATGAAGGCATTTCTGTGGGTTGTGGCGTCCAAAGGAAGACTTGCTGCAAAGAGGAAGGCCTGGGGCAAGGAAACTGCTCCATATGCTCGGTGCCCTTAATCATTTGTTCTACTTCAGGGAAGGGGGTGCAGCTCCCACTTCAGCTTGGATGAAGCCCCCAAAGGGCATTGGACATAATTTTCTTCTGCATGTGGCCAACACCTTCCAGATTGATTATACAACCTGGTTCTAGCATAAGGTGCACCTCCAGCAAAGAATGGAAACTGGCAGACCTAAAAATGCCCAGAGTCCTTTTTGGCTGTTAATCCAGGGTGAGGTGAGTGCAGGTGTGTGTGAGGGGGGAGGGGTGCCTACTCTCTGGAAATGCCCCCAGATGATTGGAACCCATTGGCTACATTATACACAAAGAGAGGAAGTGGGTGAGGAGAGCCACATTCTCTAGCCCATTTCACCAGAGGGACACTTCTTTGAACTAACAGGGTTAGTTAGGGTGTTCCATATTAAGGAAAACCTCATCCTCCGCAGAGCCTTCCAAAAAGGTCTCTTGCACACCTTCCTTAATGCCACATGGGAAAAGGTCTGACACTGCCAGCTGAAGCAGAGGCCCTGGGTTTTGATGGGGCACCACAGAGCAGTCTCCCCTACATGGTGGCAGCCCCCTATTGCCAGGATTGTTCCTTGCCTCTGATTCTCCTCATGTGGACATGGTTTGCATGGAAGCCTGAGATTTGGGACCCTCAGGGTTTCAAAGAAAGTGTGGCTCTCATGTTCAGAGCCAAAGATAGATCTGATAATGTGCAGGAGGACTTATAAAAAGCTCCAGCATCCCCAAAAGTCAAAGGCGTCACTCCCCAAGTGTGTTCCTCTCTCTGGACTGACCAATGCTTGCACACGCTGTTCCTTGCAAGATTTTGGACTGCCTTCTGCTTCAAAAGCCCTGAAAATATCGGGGATGAAATAAAGTGTACAAACAGGGCATCCTAATTTGCATGCTTCTCTACCGTGGCTTTTAAAGTTTAATTTAATTTACAGTGCAGGAACTGGGCGGGGTCTTGGCACAGAATACAAAACAGGCCTATGCGTGCAGCCAGATCATGTTTTAGTTTGCTTGGCAAAGGTTCCTCTGTGGGGGATTGTTCAGTTTGTTGAGGATGTGAACCAACTGACCTCCAGCCAAACAGCCCGAGTCTGTGTCAGCTCAAGGTCAGGCGGGAAGAGCCGACTCCTTCACTTACTGCATAGTGGCAAGATTTTAGTCCCCTTCCTCTCCAACAGGTGCTCAGGGCCCGCAGACTGCCAGGGCTTCCTTCCTGCCTCTTTCCTGCATGCAGCAGCAGTCCAATGTCCACCCAGGCATCAGTGGCAGCCACACGTCTTGACCACCATGTTGCGGTGTTTCTTGAGGATGACGTTGTTGTTGCTGTCATAATAGAGGACGGAGGTGGCGCTGAGCTTGGTGGGTGCGCAGCAGGCCTTGGGTACTGTTTCAGGCTTCATCAGGTGAACCTGAAAATGGAGTTAAAGGGAGATGCAGTCATTGGAGCTCTCCTCCATCGGAAATTGTCCGGCTTGGTTGGAGCGTTGAGTAACCAGCCCCAGAGGTCCAAAGGCTGAATGCACACAGCCCCAGCCTCCCCCACCCTAGCATCTTGATTTGGAGAAGGAAAAAACTTCAAAGCAGCACTTGTTTATACGGAGAAAAGGCATCAATTTCCATGAGTAGGTTATTTGTCCGCGTTGGCAAAAATATTTATTCAAAACCGTTTGGCAGCTTGAGTTGCAGTTTATGTTGGAGCCTCTCTCAAGGCACCATCGCTGGAGGGCAACTATTGAGGGGCTGGAAGTCAGATTGCAGCGGCTGTTGCTTCCACTGCACATCTACTTTTATCCCACTGAATTCCAGCTGAAGGGGAGTGGGGGATTATCACGATGCCTCTCGAGGGATCAGGATGCACCGGGAACTGCCTCCCCACCCCAATGAAGTGAACAAGAAGCTCTTGCAACAGAGGGAAGAACCGATTGGAGAGCACCTGCTTTTCAGGGAAAGACTGCTTCACGCTCAATTGCCTGTCTAAAGGCCCAATGTATGAGGTCTCTGGGGTTGCACTGGGTCCAGAGAGCAAGTGAACTTATTTCAGCTAGAAAACAATCTTTGTGCATGGGAAACAGCTTTTGTAGCTGGGGTGAGAGAGATAAAGCATCGCAAGCTTGCTCCCTCTGCCTCTCCTGACTTGTCCCCTGCCCATGCAAACACTAGGGCAATTGTTTTGAAACCCAGTCAGTTGGAGCCAGAGCCCTACTGGCTGGGGCTGATGGAAGTTGTAGTCCAAAGATACACCACCAGGTGCATTTCCACCAGGCACCAGAACTCCCTGAGGGCTGCAAGAAGGAAGGCCACCATGGAGTCTATGCTTCAGCTTCACTAAGGGCCAAACTATACGTCAGATGTGTGGTTGTATTTTATAGATCTCTTTGTAATTTAAAAAAAATAGGAGCCAGGAAAAGGAAAGACGTCATCAGGATTGGGGTTGAAGGGAGCATTAAGGATTTGGGTGAGGGGCGTTAATTCTTTCCCTTGCACCAGAGCCCTGACAAAAGTCATCTCACCTTCCTGTTCTCGACCACAGGAGGGAAGATGCTGCAAGTGAAAGGCTGGGACCTGGAGCATCTGCCACACACGAGGGACATGCCAGATAATTAAAGCACAACCAAGTCTCCCGATGTCATTGTGACATCAGATGATTTGTCAAGTGGGAAACCCTTCTCATTCATCAAACCTGGCCCGCAAGCTGTAGGAGAGAGAACTGCCCAGCCCAATCCAGTCCCCTACACTACCAAGTGTGCTAAAGGCATCAGTGAAAGCTACTGACCTAGGGGCGATAGCGGAACAAGGGTGCACCCCCTTTCTTCAACTCCAATCAGAAAGTCACAGGAAGCTGCTCAAAGTCCATCTAGCTCAGTACTGTCAACTGGCAGGAAATCTCCAGGATTTCAAACGGAAGTCTTATACCAGCCCTACCTGGAGATGCCATCGGGGGTTGAACCTGCTCTGCTCCTGAGCTATGGGCTTTCCCAACACCTACAGACAATCCCCTCTAGCTTGCCTCTCTTGATCCAAAGTGCCCTCTGCCATGTGGAGACACTGACCAGGGACTGAAGGATGGCATGATTTGTGGCATTCATGCAGGAGTCCAAAGGGAAAGCGCAGTCCCCTGCGCAGTAGAAGGCGGAGTAGCCCCGTGGGGCAATCACCCAGTCCTGGAAGAACAAAGCAAAATAACTTAGGAGAAGGTGTGGCTAAAAAAGCTTACCTACAGCAAAGGCATTTAAAGAACTCTCTGACTTTAGCAGTTTTCCTAAAATTAGGTTTCAATCTTAGGGTGCAGTTGGTTGCTGCATTTGAGTTTCTGCTTGAAGTCCCCAAAATATCAGCAGCTGACTCCACAGCAGCTCCGAGCAGGGCTTTCAGTGTGACTGCTCCTCTTGGGTGGAACAGCATCTCCGCTGAGATACAACAGGCACCTGCTATCTGCACCCTCCAGAATCAGTGGAAGACATTTATATTTTGAAAGGCTTTTTCAACTGGGTAAAAACATCTCTGCCTCAGGAGTCTTTTGGTATTGTTTTGAAACCATTTTAGTTGTTTTTATGGTGTGTTTGCAAATGGCCTTGAGACTCACATGAAAGGTGATGTATAAAACAATAAAATGATAATGATAAGGAGGTCAGGGAGAGAGATCAGACACCACTGAATTCCCTTCCCCATCACCACAGAAATGTCTGTGACCCTGGCTCTTCAGACGCCAGCCCTCCAATGTTGGCGAGGTTTGTGTTGGGGGCAGTGTGGGGTATGTTGGAGGACGAATCTGAAGGATCCAAGCTTTCCTAGCCCCCAAATCTGCAGCAGCCTTTCACCTTTATTTTCCCCCCTTTTTTTGTTCCCAGTGGAAGGGAAATTAGGGTTGTTTTTTTAAAAAAAATCCACCCTGAAAGGGATGGAGGAGCTCATTTCTACCCTGCTGGCATGAGACCACGGGGAAGGGCACTAGCAGAGCAGTGAAACTACTGCCAGCTTCACCGTTGGCCTGTACTAGCTCTAGGACTGCACTGGTAGTCTTTTTTTTCTTTTTAAGAGATCTACATGAGTCCCCAATATCTAAGCCACACATTTTCTTTGTAAGCTGCTGATCAGAATGAGACACAGAGAGAGATCGGTACTCTGCCACAACAATGTGGGTTAGGGGGGTTTCCTGCATGGGGGTGTGGGGGTGCTTGGGTGCACACAAACTGGGCTTATGGGAACAGCGATTCACTTTTCTGGGCTGCCACCTTGGGAATCCCTGAGAAAATATGCTCTATATAAACCTGCCATGACTTTGAAAGAAATGGGTTCAGAAAGACGGAAAAGATTGGAAAGGAGAAGAGGAAGGTGATGCTAAGATATTTAACTTTTCTGGGGGAAATGACTTATGTAAAGAAGAACATTTTTAAAATAGTTACCATCCATTTAAGCTCTTGAAAGTCGACATACATCTCGTGCCTCCTGCACACCTGCCGCCCTTCAGAAATGTGGACATCATCTGGGGGGGAAAGACCAAGAATGTCCATCAAAAGGCAGGTGGTTCTCTTATCATTCACTGAATGGGCAATAAGCCAAAGGGAAATCTGCACCATGGAAGGGCAGTGGGGGGCAACCTCTGCCCCCCAGCGGGCCATTTGAACAACACTGTGCCTACTTGCCCTTTGCCCAATGATGTTGGGTCTAGGGCAGGCGAAGATGGGGCTGCATCCAAAGGAGTTTACAGCTGATGGACTCCGCTACCTGCCAAGCCCCGGCAGCCAGTTGATGAGCCTAGTAAGCCTCGGAGCCACAATAGATGGGAAAGAAGAGGAAATATGTCTCCAGCATCTTTTTCAACATTACTACCATTATTAAAGCAACTGTTGGTGGGGTGGATTGGTAAAGTAGACCAGGACCAGGAATACTCTCACATCATCACCCTGATGATCAAAACTGTCGCCGCTACAGGTAACACAATGGATGCCTGGAGGTTCCCCTCCACCAGCTGCTAATAATGGTTCCAGGGTGGCGGCGGGGGGATCTGAATTAGGGGTGTGGCCTGAGGGGCACAGCTGATGCCAAGGGGACTTGGCCATTCTCTGTGTTGGTGCCCACCTTGAGGCTGTTCAGAAAGGGCTATTAGCCATGATCTCTGTGCTCTGCCTCCACAGCTGGAGACAACAATGCTTCTGAATATAGTCACTGGAAACTGCAGGAGGGGAGAGGGCTCTTGTGCTCGGGTCCTGCTTAGGGGTTTGCCACTGGGGCATCTGGTTGGCCACTATGAGAACAGGATGCTGGATGAAAGGAGCCATTGGCCTGATCCAGCAGAGGTCTGCTTATGTTTTTATGCTTCGAGCCAATTGCTTTTCACCTTGGCACTTGGTTGCATCGGGATCTTTCTTGTGGTTTTTATCATTCGTTTTAACTTGGCATGGTTTATATTTCACTAGCCAGTGCTGGGCAGTGCCTTTATTAGGACCAACCCAAAAGCCACAACAGAATTCTCCAGATCTCTTCCTAGGTGCTACAGAAAGTTCTGTGTGTCACAGGGGATGGAATAAAAAAATCAGTCTGGAAAGCCCTGAACTCTGCATCTAGACTCATTCCAAAGATGGAGGCCGGGCACAGACTGAATTGGTCTCTGCCAAGTGCTGGCGGGCATCAATTTACAATCTAGGATTCTGGGGTGAAGAAGCAATGGCTGATTTCCCATTTCTTAAGACCCAAGTCCACAATAAGCTTCCAGGTGGAAGCATCCTAGGTCCCTTGTTGCTAGCAGCCTGCCAGTCACCTCGCAGCACTGAAGGGCCTGCTGGATGCCTGGTGCAGTAGCCTGCTTCTGAGTCCATGCTGGGGCTGCAGCTGAAGAAGACATGTGCCTGAGTGACAGAACAAATGACCCTCTGTGGCCCAGCCTGAGGGCAAAGTCCGACTGTCCTTCACTAAGCCGATTCCCTAGCTGCTTCTCCAGCCCTTCTGCTCCTTACCAAACGCTCCTGGGAGCCTGTTTGAGTGCGGGAAACTGTGGCTCTTCTTGTGCTGTCTCTTCCTCAGGTGCTTGGCTGCACGCGGGACCCTGACTTGGTTTTGGCTTGCCCGGAAAAATGTCACCACAAAGGGCTGCTTGGAGCGTGGTCCGCGGCGACCCAAGAGGCCAGCTGATCCAGGATCAACACTCTGTCCTGCAGAATCCAAAAAACAAACCCTTTCCACTATGTTAATACTGCTGTACATCAGATTAATAGGTGGGGGTGTTCATCTGTTTAGGGGTCATTGCCCAGAGCCCCCCACTAGGGAGGACAAGAATCCTGAAGAGGGAGAAAGGGAGACCAGGCACACAGAGACTCTGGTGCTTTCCTTGGCTGTTAGCAAATGGCATTTGCAGCCACAAAGAGTTGGACACGACTAAACAACTAAACAACAACAACAAAGATGGACGGGGACTTCCGGTTTGGATCGCCTGCAGTATGGGAGCGCGGAGAAGTTGCTGAACAAATTCTCCGGTCTGTACAGGGATTATAGGGGGCAACGCAAAGGCATTGCGACCCCCCGAACCTCAAGGGGGGCCCCCTTGAGGGAACCGCAACCAGCAGCGTCGGAGGGACCCGAAGCTCTTCTGGGTTCTCTTTGAGAAGACTCAGGAGTGACGGATCGAGAGACGCACCATGGTAAGCCCTGCGAACCCTGTGCAGAAATGCCTCGAGCTCTCACTGAAAACGGCGACAAATCTCCGTAACTTTTAGAACAACCGTTCTTGGGGCTGATTAACAATTGTCAGCGATGAAAATTTGAAGAATAGAGCCCAAGACGGGTTGGATGGGAGCAGATTAAACTAAGGAGCCCGATCTGTATTTCGGAGTTAAGATGGCGCTGGGACGCGAATCGGGAGAGTGAAACAAAGAAACACTTACTCACCCGCTGTAGAAAAGAAGAGGGGAAAGTCCCCGCTGGGAGTGTCACGGGGCAAAGTATCCAAGAAAGATAGTGTTTATTTGAAGAAGAGACGTTAGAGACTTTGTATTGTATTGGAATAGATCGCTAAGAATCGGCTGCGGAGAAAACCTTAGAAGGAGTGTTAAGAAGATAGAACGGAGGCGATAACTAGAGACAGAGACGGAGGGAGTAGGAGGGGGAGAGGAGAGGAGAGAAAAAAGGAGAGAAAAACCTGTTTTGAGAATACGGATGAGTGGAGCTGAGATCGGTGCTCTCCCAGTGGCCCATCGATGCGGATAGTAGCTTCGGATCTCCGTCTCTCCACTTCCCCCCTTCTTGTTTTCCTGTCTTTTGTTTTTTTTTCTCGGAGTTGATGATTCTCCGGAGCCTCTTGGATATTGATTGCCTCTATAGCTTTTGATTGCTGGCTGGCGACGGAAGGAGAGAGTCTCCGCGCAGGCTCAGACACGTACGCCAGTCTTTACTTGCATTGGGTTGTAATTAAGTTGGAACTTTAAAACTAAGTTAAAACCTTAAAAATCGGGCCGAACTCTGACATTGGGATAAATATCAATGGACTCAAATAGTATTTCGGACATAATTTATAAATAATTACAAATTTAATACGAACTCGACTACGAAGGCGGTGACCTTTTCTCAGCCTAGACCAATTGGTAGAACACCCCACTTCTCTTTTTTCACCCTTTGTTTCTTTCCTGGATTTTGGGGTCAATAGAAGTACTGCCTCTTAGATCACCTCTACATAAAGCAAGAAGGGACTGTTGAATAAAAAGCTTTCCATCCCCCCCTGGTGGACTACCTTAATCTTGTGGAAAGACCCGGAAATTTGGGCGGCTGTCAGACTGTCCCGTCTCTTGCCCGCCTTCTCTTGCATTTTACGCCTGTCACCTCTTCCCCCACCTCTGGCTGACACCACGAGAGTGCTAACCAGATCAGAATTTGATTATTGAAGCGGTGGCAACAGCGAGAACTTTGGATTAGACCAAACAAGTGGTCGAAGTCAGAATAAAAGAAAGACCTATAAACGCCTGTGAGACTGCCTCTTGGAACTCTTGAACCTGCTCCCTGTTTCCCGCTTCCCTTTCCCTTAGCCCCCTCCCCCCGCTCCTCCTCATCCTCCTTTTTATTCTACATATTATATTTCCTTCCTTCCTCCTCAGAGAACTAATAATAAGGCTACAGCCTGCGTAAAGAGCAGGATAGTGGAACTTTACTTGACACAACTAGAAGTAACTAGATTGTGCGCCCCCTAGGGGATAGCAGGAGGAAACATAAGTTTGATTATTGGTAAGGACCGGGGAGGAGGGAGGGACCGGATCGGGCAGATGGCGGGTAGGGACGGGAAAAAGTCGGTAGGAACACCAACAGAGAGGAAAATTTCAAGGCAAGAGGAGATAAGGGACTTAGACGCCCTGTGGTTGAAAATAAAGGAAGAATTTAGACAAAATGAAACCCATATGGAAAAAAAGCTGGGAGAGATGCAGGAATCCTTTGATAAAAAAATAGAACAGGCAGTAGGGGAAATGTCAAATAAAATCAAAGATGTAACGGCCCGAACAAAGTCCCTAGAGGACTCAAATAGGAAAATGCAGAAAGAGATGAAAGACCAGAGTAGAGAAGTCGGGAAAATTAAGGAAAACTTTGAGGAACTAAACAAAAGTCAAGACCAAGTCTTAGATAATTTAGCCATGATGGAAATGAAACAAAAGCAGCTGAATTTGAAATTTAGAGGAATAGGAGAAGTGAGAGATGAGGATGTAAAAGGAAAAATGACAATAGAACTGGCAAGGTGGCTAGCATGGAGAGAAGACGAAGTTGCACAAACCATAGAAAACGCTTTTAGAATAAAAATAAGACCGAAGCAAAACAAACAGAAAAAAACACCAGGGGACTGCTTGGTGATTTTTAGATCGATGGAGATGAGAAATAGAATTTTGAAAGAAAGCTACCAGAAGAAATTGATAATTGACGGAAGGCCAATTATCATTTTTAAGGAAATACCAATCAGACTTCTTCGGAAAAGAGAGGGCTACAAACAGATAGTCAATACTTTGAGAAAGAATGGCATACAGCATAGATGGGAATTCCCTGAAGGGATTTCCTTTTTTTATAAGGGAAAAAAGTTCAAGATAACAGAGATTCAGGAAGTTAGCAAATTCCTCCGTAGATATGAAAAAGAGCTAGGGGGGCTAGTAGAGGGATATGGAGGGAGGGGTGGAGAGAGGGGAGGGGAGGGAGGAGTGGGTTCGGGGGGGAGGCTGGAGGGGGAAGAAAGAGAGGGGGTGGGAGGGAAAGAGGATCAGGAGGAGGAGGAAAGAGAGGAAGAGACAGGGGAGGAACAGGAGGAAGTAGAGAATTAAATTACCTGAACTCAAATCGGTTAAGAGCCTAAAATTTATACCGACAAATTACTGACCTTATAAATAATGAATCTCAAAATTCTAACATGGAACGTAAATGGTCTGAATGAAAAAACAAAAAGGAATAAAATTGCAAATGTGCTAAAGAAGAAAAAATTGGATGTAATCTGTATACAAGAGACTCATGTAGTCAAAAAGCACAAACATGTATTAGTTAATAAAAATCTGGGAATAGAATTTATAAACTCTGGGAAAGAGAAAAAAAGGGGAGTGGTAACATACGTTGATGGAAAATGGGAACCCAAACTGATATATAAGGATGAAGAAGGAAGAATCCTGGGGGTTCAAATAAGCTTCAAGGGAGAGAAAATTAATGTGGTAAACATTTATGCCCCAAATACAAATAGGTTAGAGTTCTACAAAAAATTGGAACAAGTATTACTAGAATTAGGAGATAATAAGATGATACTACTGGGAGACTTCAATGCAGTGCCGACACTAGAAATGGACAGACAAACAGATAAGAGGAAAAGAAAACAGGGTAAATTGCCGGAATCATTCCACAATTTAGAAGAGAATATGGACCTAACAGATGTCTGGAGACATAAGCACCCAACAGAAAAACAGTTTACCTTTTTTTCAGAGGTACACAAAAGTTGGGGAAGAATAGACCAAATTTGGGCTTCAAGAGCAATCACCTTAAGAGTCACGAAATGCGAAATTCAACCGAGAACCCTCTCCGACCATAATTCGATAACTTTAGAAATAAAAGGGGAATCGCAAGGAGGCTTTAGATGGAGATTAAATGATTATCTGCTAGACAATGACGAGGTCATTGAAAAAGCCAGAGCCACTCTAAAAGAGTATTTAGTTTTAAATCTTAACACAGGAACTAATATAGAAATAGTCTGGGACGCAAGTAAGGCAGTCTTGAGAGGATTTTTTATCCAGCAGAACAACTATAGGAAGAAAATAAAACAGCAAAAGATAGAGGAAATACTCGGACAGTTAAGGGAGCATGAGAAAAAATTAACAAAAAATCCAAAAGATGAACAAAGTTTACAATCAATAAAAATATTACAAAGGCAATACTCAATATTAACGAACCAGGAAATAGAGTGGAAAATAAAAACAATGAGGCAGAGATATTTTGAATCGGCGAACAAAACAGGGAAATTCCTAGCCTGGCAATTGAGGAAAAGACAAAAGCAAAATGTTATAAACAAAATAATGGTAGGAGAGGAATTAATAACAGATCCAAAAAGGATACAACAAAATTTCCTCCAATTCTATGAAGAGCTGTATAAAAAAGGAGAAGAGGACTTAACCCAAATAGAAAAATACCTGGAGAGGAGTACAGGGAAGACCGTCACTGAAGAAGAAAGAACTCAACTAAACAGACCTATAAGTTTAGAAGAAACTGAAAGGGCAATTAAAAAAATGAAACTGGGTAAGGCACCAGGCCCAGACGGTTTATCGGCAAAATATTACAAAGTTCTGGGAGACCAACTCGTACAAACTCTCTGCGACACTATGAATAATATTTTAAGAGGAGGGAAAGTTCCCGAGTCATGGAAGGAAGCTTTCATAACACTGATCCACAAACCAGACACAGATAAATTGAATATGAAGAACTACAGACCAATATCGCTATTAAATAACGATTATAAAATATATACTGACATCATGGCGAATAGATTGAAAAAATGTCTAATAAACCTAATTCATAAAGACCAAGTGGGTTTCCTCCCAAATAGATTCCTGAAGGACAATGTGAGACATGTGGTAAACATAATTGAACATCTGGAGGTTAATAATAACATACCGGCGTCTCTGATTTTTATAGACGCAGAAAAGGCGTTCGATAACGTCTCATGGCGGTTCTTAGTAAAATCTATAGAAAAGGCAGGGATCGAGGGTGAATTTCTGAAGGGGATACAGGCAATATACTTAGATCAATATGCCAAATTGGTAATAAACAATAACATTACGAACAGGTTTAAAATAGAAAAGGGAACGAGGCAGGGTTGCCCCCTTTCACCACTTTTGTTCATTCTGGTCCTAGAAATTTTGGCGAATAAAATAAGATCCAAACCGGAGATAAAAGGGATCAAAATAGGATCTAAAGAGTATAAGTTAAAGGCTTACGCGGACGACCTGATGTTATCCCTTGAAGAACCGCAAGAAAGCTTGGGTAAAGCACTGGAGATATTGGAGGAATACGGCAAAGTCTCGGGCTTTAAGTTAAATAAAACCAAAACAAAAATGTTGACGAAGAATATAGGAAATGATGGGAAGGAAGGATTAGAAAGTCAATATGGAATTAAAGTGGCAAAAAAAATAAAATATTTAGGTATTTGGCTAACACCCAAAAATATAAATTTAATTGAAGATAATTATACATCAACTTGGAATAAAGTGAAAAAAGATCTGGATGTCTGGAATAGGGTGAACCTTTCGTGGCTGGGCAGGATGGAAGCAATAAAAATGAATATACTCCCCAGGATGCTTTTTCTATTCCAAAACATACCTGTCATCAGAGGGACTAAAATATTTAAGGACTGGCGGAAAACCCTCTCGAGATTCATATGGCAGGGAAGGAGGCCAAGGATCAGATTTAAATTACTCACAGATTGCAAGGAGAGGGGGGGGCTAGCAGTACCTGACTTAAAATTATATTACGAGGCGGCTTGTCTTTGCTGGGTCAAAGATTGGATAACTTTGGACAATACAGATTTGTTAGACTTGGAAGGGGCCGGCAATAGACATGGCTGGCATGCCTATCTTTGGTCAAATAAAGAAACGACACATAAAGGGTTCTCGAATCACATTATTAGAGGCCCCCTGTACGAAGTTTGGGTAAGAAACAAAAAATTACTAGAATGGAAAACACCTTGGTGGTTATCCCCAACAAATGTTTTATCAATTAAAAAAATAAATATGGAAGAACCAAAATTGACGTATGAAGATCTATTGGTAAAATCCCAAGATAGTTGGAGGTTAAGACCGTACGAAGAAATAAAGGGATGCCTGACGGGGTGGCTCCAGTACCATCAAATAAATGCAAAATGGACAGAAGATAAAAAAATAGGAATGAATGAAAAGAAGTCCAAATTTCAGATTGAAATAATTGAAAGTAAATCCAAAATATTATCCAAGATGTATAAAATACTACTGGAATGGGAGACCAAGGATGAAGAAATTAAGGAAGTTATGGTCAAGTGGGCGATGGATTTGGGGCATAATATAGAATATAAAAAATGGTCAAAACTGTGGAATGAGGGACTAAAATTCACGGCGAGCGCCGCAATTAGAGAAAATCTAGTAAAGATGGTATATAGATGGTACCTGACGCCAGAAAAATTAAGTAGGATGTATAAAACTGCAGATAAGATATGCTGGAGATGTAAAATAAAAGAAGGCAGTTTTATGCATATGTGGTGGACATGCGAGGAGATAAAAAAATTCTGGGATCAGGTATATAATGAGTTAAAAAAGATATTGAGATATACATTCCCCAAAGACCCAGAAGCCTTCTTACTAGGGATGGTTGGGAAAGAAATCCAAGAAAAAGATAAAATTTTATTTCAATACTCAACAGCAGCGGCCAGAATATTAATTGCGCAAAATTGGAAAAGCACAAACCCACCATCGGTGAAGGATTGGCAATTAAAATTATTTGATTTTATAGAATTGGCAAGGATGACGCAAAGAATTAGAGATAAAAAAAATACAAAGTTAAAAAAGGACTGGGACAAATTTATGATTTATTTCGAAGATAATTTTAGAAACCTACCAACTATAGCAGGAGTGTTATAAAACTTCCAATGCTTATACCAAAAATCTATACCAGCAGTAATAACAATCTCATTGAAAGCATGAATCCGAAATCAGTAGGGAAGGAAGTCGTTGTGTCTAGTGTTGTATGTATTTTTTTTTTGTCTTTTTTATTTGCTTAGTTATTTTTCTTTTTGTGTTATTTTGAGGAATGTATGTTTTTGTATTTGTTTTGTCTTGATGTACGGATTAAATGAACTTAATAAAAAGATATTAAAAAAAAAAAAAACAACAACAAAGATGGACAAATGACTAGATGGAAATCGGATTATAGTCATAATGTGCTTTTCCTTCCTTGAAAAGTTAGCTTCCATTTTTTGAGGCCTTTCCAACTTTGATATGTATCGGACTACACATTTAATCTTATTTGACTGTTGAAATTTGTATCCTGCCTTTCCACCAAAGGGTCTCAAGGCTTTCCAACTGTCTCATATTATTGCCCCACCAGCTGCTCGCTCTTCCTAGAGTTTTGCTGCTTAGGCTGCTTGGTAAGTAGTGTTTCTTTTCTTTTCATATACCGGGGGCTATATGAGATCTAAATGGAACCCCAGTAATCTGGCTGCTGCCTTTTGGATATATGGTGTCAGGGAGAGGCAAACGGGAAAAGATGAAAGGACAGAAACCAGCAGTTATAGAGAGCCTAAAGAGATTATCAGTAGCTTGTCGTCTGACAGTCAGTCTGACGTAGAGGGGGAGGAGGATGAGCCTGGGACAAGTCATGCTGTACACAGAGGAAGTAAGGGGAGGAGTTTTCGCAGACTTGCATGCTGGGTGCGAAAAAGGAGGAAGTAAGATTAGAGGCAGCAACTGCTCCCAAGGGGAAGGAGGCTAATGGAAACGCTGGAGATGTATGTTTGAACTTTGTCAAATAAATTAATTGTTTGGAACTGGCTGGGAGCCCGGAGTCTTATCTATGGCCAGCTGGACAGCACTAAGCCTCTGACATATGGATACTTTTGTAAACCTATTTTTTATTTTTTATGCTATGGGGCGCTACAGTTTTTTAATATAAATAAATAAGCCGTACGTGAACAGAAGATGGTTCCATATGCAATACCACCTTATCAAGTTTGCTCCTCTTGTTCTCTACAGCCAACATAACAACAACTCTTACCACAAAATGGAATTCCTAAAAACTGCAAAAAAATAAATCAATCAAAAATCCCATTAGCCTTACCGTCCTCTGTCTCCACATAGAGCCTCAAGCCCAAGTTGTATTTGCGGTGTAACAGCCAGTGATTACTTGCAGCTGCGACGTCGAACACCAGCCAACCCTCTGCCCCAGCCAGGATATCCTGGAGGTCCAAGAGAAGCAGGTCTGAGTCCCTGGAGTAGCAGAAAGCAAGTATGAGCACAACTGCTCGGAGTAAAAAATGCTTGGCTTTTTAAAAATGAAAAACAACACTGTGATACAAGGCAGCCTTCCCCAACTTAGTGCCCCCCTGGAAGACTTGGGGTACAACTCCCAGCATCATCTGAATGTGTTATCTGGGGGCTGATGGAATCTGGAGGGCACTAGGTTGATGAAAGCTACTATCGAGCTTCCCCAAGATTTTACAGTGTTTTGACAAGGAAATTTTCTTTGCAGCAGTTACTTCTTATTTTCTGCATTTGTTCACTTAATATTTGTATGCATGGTGCACTTGTAGTATGGGTGCATTTATTTAAAAATAACTTCCTCTATTTCACAGGGGATTCTCCCTACCTAGTAAACCTTTTTGCATTCCGAGTCTGGCATCTGTATGTGTAAATTTTAAAATAATTGGAATGACCTGAGAATACTGGGCAGGGCTGTAGCTTAGTGGTCAAGCATCTGCTTTCCATGCAGTGGGTCCCAGGCTCAATCTCTGGCATCTCCCGGCAGGGGTCGAAATGTCACCTTTCTGAAAACCTGCCAGTCAGTGTAGACATTACTGAGAGATGGACCAATGATCTGACTTGGTATAAATGAACTTCCTATTCTGTAAAAATGACTATATTTTGAGGGAGGAATGTAGCTCAGTGGTAGAATATCTACATTGCATGCAGAAGTTCCCAGGTTCAATTCCCAGCAACTCCTGGAAAGTCACTGCTGAGCTAGATGGACCAATGATCTGGCACTGAGTAAGGCAGCTGCCTATGTTCCTAACCCATAGGGAATGTCTCCTTTATGACTCCCACTTGAACGTTGTTACCTGCAGTCAAATGTGGTGTAGGAGTTCTTCCTGTGGGATACTACCTCTAAGTGCAGCCGAGGGGGACTTTGGCCCTGTGCGTCTAGTTAGGCTCCCCAGGCCTTCTCATTTAGCCCACAAGGCCATTTGGGGCAATCAACATGGGACATCATCCTATGCCAATCCCAGCTACTGTGGCAATTTGGGGGCAATTTTTTTGCAAAGCCAACTACAACTTCTACAACTTTCCACATATGCTGCCATGCAAGGCATGGCTTGAGAACTGCTTCCCAACTTGACTAAGGCATAAAATTGCTGAGCTGCTCTCTTCTTATCCAGGAAGCAAGAGGAAGCTTCTGCCTCTAAGGATGCTGCTATGAGCCTGAAACGCTATTCACCTTCAGCTTGCAGCATCCAGAAACTGCTTTCCTGCTCCTCCTTCCATCTCCCAGCTCCTCAGATCTTCACTTTGCTGTATCTGATGGGAGTCTGCATTTGGATATGTGGTTTTCTCCCCAACTTTTTTCTACTGCATTAACTTCCAATATGTTCTGTGAGGCTCATGATGAAACTTTTGCAAGTATGGTTGAATGGAATTGGTGTTTGGGAAGATGTTTGTTCTTTGATTTGGCTTGGCTTTTTAAAAAATGCCTTACCCACAAATACCTTACCCAACCTGGTACTCAGCAAATGTTTTGGCTGGGTTTTAATTCAGCCCTTGGGCTACAAGCAGTTCCCTACTCCTGCTCCAATGGGACTGTAATGTCGAACAGTGTTATTAGTCCCCATGGTTTGACAGTTGTGTGTTCTGGGTCAGAAGTTGGTTTGCTCTTACTGTACCTGTTAGAATGTTCTTGGACAATCTCATATATGCTGACGTGAAGGGTTTTGTTGACATGCCAACTGAAGCTTTGCATCTTGTAAATTCGGAATTCAGCCGCTGTTACAGACTCCCCTGTTGGGATCTGTGTCAAGTCAAACCTGAATTCCTTCCAATAAGGCTTCTGGTGGAAGATGTCCCAATCTAGTTCAACTGGAAAGAATTGGGACATGATTACACACACACACATGCACCCCCCCAAACACATGGATTATTGGGACATCTTCAAGCCACATTCTCTATTATTATTGTTTACTGAATTAAGTCGCTTTAACTTGCCCGGTGCAACCCAAAGTGACTTACAACTGAGGACAGACAAAAAAACCCACGTAAATACATTAAAACGAAGAGCAAAAAGAAATACATTAAAAATATCCCACCCACTTCTAAAAGGCCACAGATAACTAAAGGATAAAGGCTTGGTTATAAAGGAAGGTTTTTGCATGATGCCTAAAGATATATGATGGCACCAAGCAAGCCACCATAGTTATCACAGTGTTGTATACTTTTTAAGACAAACCAATGCAATGATCATTTAAAAGACCAGAATGCTAAACACCAGTAAAATCTTAATAAAATAGCTAAATAAAATATCAGTTAACTAAAAAAATGGAGGTGATTTATTTTATTAATTTTCACTACACAGTTTGATGCTGTCCTTTTGCTATGCTTGGAATGCACTTTATCCTTCACTCCACATTACTCAAATCTTATTTATTTACTACACTTCTATTTCACGTTCCCCCGAAGGAACTGAAGTTGGTTGTTCCCCTCCCCACTTTATCCTCACAACAGCCCTGTGAGGGTGAGAGACTGTGACTGGCCCAAGGTCACCCAGTGGGCTTCACAGGTAAGTAGGGCTTTCCACTTCCATCTGCCAGGTCCTAGCCCAACACTCTAACCACTACACAGCACTGGCTCTATTTACTGAGTTTAAAATACATTCAAGTTTAGCACACACCCAATCTGCCAGGAGAAAATGCCTTCTGAAAACTTTGTTGACTGAGGGTTGAGGGGTGGCAAAGGCAATGGATCTGAGTCAATCTATGTAACATAAAACACATGTCCTCCTCCTAAGGAGGGAGGTAAAGCATCATGAAGTTAGGGGTCACATTTTTCACAGGGAATTTCCCCTCCTGAGAAGCACAGTCCTCATATGATAAAAGACAGATAGATACAGCTGGAGAGATGCAGCGTTAAAATAATAAAATAAAATAATGGCAGAATCTCCTTTGGTTGCAAGCTCTTAATCTATAACACACGCTATAGGAGTAACAGAATAAAACTGGCCCTGGGCGAAGCCAGGATTTTTGTTAGGGGGGCGGGCCTTTTGGGGGGGCAGAACCTCAGTTAGCTATGTATTTTTATTGGTTTTCATTGATTTAGGGGGGCAGCTGCCCCCTGCCCCTCCCCTTGGCTATGCCCATGAAACTGGCACTCAAGACCTGGCAAGGGGAACAAGGGATGTACAAGAACAAATGCCATTGACCCTCTTTATTTTCAAAGTAAACCTCTGAAAGCCGTCTCTCAGGCCACACTAGTAAGATCCCCCAGTACCTTTCTTGATTTCAGCTCACAGCAGCTCAGCGGTCAGGAGAATTAGAGGAGAATTGCACTCTCTAGCATTCCATAGAGCATCCTTCGCCAACCTGATGCTCCCCAGATAAACATCTGGAGCAGCAGCAGGTTGGGGGAGGCACTCTAGCATCCTGGAATTTAGTGGTTGTTAAGTAGCAGTGCAGAGGCCTGGCGGTTAGCTGGGAGAAAACAGCTGCTTTCCTCCCCCCTTTTTGGTGTGTGAAAAGGGCTCGACTGTCTGTGACGTGCCAGGAGAGGTTAGGGTGGGCTGCGGTTTCCAAAGGAATACTTCCCTTCCCAATTAAGGGAACCGAGGCAGAGAGAACTTGATGGGGGTTGGACTGCTTGTGTTTGTTTTTATTTCCTAGTCTGACAAACATCTTCAAGTTTAGGAGCTGTCTGCTTAAGCCAGCCACACAAACACACTTTATCCTTTCCTTGTTTTGCCATTTTTCTAGTCATCTCAGCTACACTGACAGAAACCTCTCAAACTGGGAAGCAGGTCTGGCACCTGAGCAAAGCGTTTGCCGCCTTCTGCTGGCATCCAAAAGGTGTCCTTGGCACCAACCAGAGGACCCAACAGGAAGCCCCAAAGCACAACCTGAATGCGACAGCCCTCTCCCCTCCTGTGGTTTCCAGCAACTGGCATTCAGAAGCATTGCTACCTTTGACTGCTGATGTGGAGCATAGCTATTGATAGCCCTCTCCTCTGTGACTTTGTCCACTGCCTCCTGTGGGAGCAAGTTCAACAGTTTAACCAAGTGCTGCATGAAGAAGTCCTTTCTTTTATCTTCCAACATTCAGATTCATTGGATGACCACGAGTTCTAGAGTTTTGGGAGAGGGAGAAGAACTTCTCTCCACCCACTTTCTCCATGCCCAAGCATTCCCAGCTATTCCTCTTGAGTTGTCCTCCTGGTGGGGATGTGGGCCTGGTTGGGCTGGCCTAGTCATCTTCCGCTCCCATGTCATACATGGCAGTGCTGGGAAAGGCCCCTGGCCAAGTGAGCAGGCAGAGAGGCAGCCAGCACAGGCCATACTCTCCAGCTGGCCCCATGTACGTGAACGCGTTGCTGCTTTGTTCCCACGGCACATGTGGGTGTTGCCTCTGCAGCATTTGTCTGGCCGAGCAATGCGATGAGCAGGGAGCAAGAAGATGTTGGAGGACAGGGCTCACCTGTGCATGTGCCACACTGCTTACCTGGCAACCCCTAAGCTAGCCATATGAGATAGAGGTCTCTGCCTTCAGCTAGTGTTGAAATAAGATTCAGCTGCTAGTCCAAGGGGTGAAGTGGAGGAGGCATCTTGTCTGCCTCAGGCAGCAAAACATCTTGGGCTGGCCGTATTTTTAGGCACTTGGCAACTACATTTTTAGTTCTCCTGGCTTTTAATCTCTGATCATTTAACATCTCTGCTCTGATTGTTTTCCTCTTGGGAACATCGTTTTAATGTCATTTTGCTGCCTTTTTGTAACCTACTATAAATTGCCCTGGGACTTTTTAATTGAAGGGTGGCATTAAAGCAAGCAAACGCAGTGATAGTTGGATGGATTCAATTTTATATTCGTTCAGGGGGTGAGGAGACAACAGTCTCAAAAGCTATGTGTGCTCCCAGACTACCATCCCTGCATCTAAAAATGTGACCATATTTTATATGTAAAAACACTGTTTTTGCACTCATGGGCAATTTCTAAAAACAGAAGTTGGGGGGGGGGGTCAAGCCAGAATAGAAGGTTAGATACCTTTACCCCATGGGGTGTGTGGTGTGTGTGTGTGTGTGTGTGTGTGTGTGTGTGTGTAGCTCATGATGATTATTAAAAGGAAAGGCAACCTTCATGTGCTCAGATGCACTCTTTACTTTAATCTGCCCTTTATTTTCAGGCTGAGACCTGCCTCCTGCACATTCCAAAAAATGCTGTTACGCCACTAATGGTGCCTGCAGGCCAGGCACCCAGAGAACATTTCTCACCTTGGGGATTGTAAATGAAGTTCATTAGTACTTTGCAAACACTGAAAACAAACCTAAACCAAACCCACATGTTCTTTCCCATCTGTTTACAGGATTATGGGAGTTTAATAGAGACGTTATTTAGCTTTGAGGCACTCTGCAATGAAAGGGGAGGGGAACCCCTTTTCCTAGAAATGCTTCTTCCTAACCAACTGCCAGGGCAGGATGGAGGGTTGTGAGGGGAAGAACTTAGGCAATAACTTCTCTGGGATTTATTACTTAAAGCAATCATGTGCTTGTTTTTAAAAGCAAAGGGTTAAGAGCATACATCTTCACATCCCAATGCACTTTGACCCACTAAAACTGGTTAGGCAAATATTTTTATCTTTTAATGTGCATCCAAGCACTATTCTCCTCCTACTTTATTTCATTGATTTATCTGATGTGGAACTAGTAATAAAATAATAATAATAATAATAATAATTATTATTATTAAAAAAATTATTTATACCCCGCCCTCCCCGGCCGGAGCTGGGCTCAGGGCGGCTAACATCAGTAAAATTACAGTAAAAAACCTAATGGGGGAGGACCCCAATTTAAAATACAGGTTAAAATGCAATCTAAAATGCAGCCTCATTTTAAAAGTAGCCCATAAATCAAAACCATAAGGGGAGGGAAACATAAGGGTCAGACTGAGTCCAAACCAAAGGCCAGGCGGAACAGCTCTGTCTTGCAGGCCCTATGGAAAGATGTCAAGTCCCGCAGGGCCCTAGTCTCTTGTGACAGAGCGTTCCACCAAGTCGGGGCCAGTACTGAAAAGGCCCTGGTCCTAGCTGAGACCAATCTAACCACCGTGCAACCTGGGACCTCCAAAATGTTGTCATTTGTGGACCTTAAGGTCCTCCACGGGGCATACCAGGAGAGGCGGTCCCGTAGGTACATGGGTCCTAGTGGACTTTGGCTGTCTGTTGTTGGAGAGTTTAAGCTGTGTCTCCATCTATATCCCATCTGTGCCTTTGTAAATAACCACAAATATTACAAAACACCCTAAGCCTCCAGTGGCTGCTTTCCTCAAGGAAACCAAGCCTGGGGGAGGGCCATACCCCATAAGCTTCTCGTGACTGGAAGGTGAAAGAGAAGAACAAACAAACAAACAAACATGTGTGTGTGTGCGCGCGCATGCGTGCACGTACACACTCTCTTTCTCTCTCTCTCTCTCAGGACTGCCTTTCAGGGATTCTTGATGATGACCATTATTCATCTACACTGGGGGATCCTGATAATCGCTTGCTGCTGCTCTGAAACACTCTGGGCGTCTCCATGCAGGCTTAATTTGCAAATGGGCCATTGTCATGTCCCAAACAGAACCTTGGCCACAGGTTTTTAAAAACTCTTTGACTTTTCCATGGAAAGGGGATATCTGGATTATGGGCTGACATTTTGATGCCAACTATGCCATGGGGGTGCTGCAAAAAGATGGCATGCACGAGGCACCCATCCCACAATAAACACCCATCTGGAAGCAGCCATCAAAAGTCACCAACCTAAGACACTGGATGCTTTGAAAGACAACTAAGGAACATTGAGAGGGAGAACAGAGCCTACACTGACACCTGCAGCTGAAGGTTA